TTTCTTTGTTTGTTCCCCATTTGCAGAAGAATAGCTCAAAACAGAAGGAAATTCTAAACAGCAGAGATATCGGAGTTCCTTAAAACACCTTCTATCATGCCGGCATCATCTTTTCCCTCTAAGAATAATATAATATGATAATAATATCCCTCCTTCCTTCCTAATAATAATCATAATAAATATAATAATATCACACCTTCACTTCCTTCCTTCCTAATAATAATCTATATATATAAAAATGCTCTGTGCATAATGAGTACCTTAAAAACAAAAGAACCAATGAATGAAATCACACTAAATTTGGCAACAAAATGTCTCACTACACAAGGAGTGACCATCACTCAAAAATTATGATTTTGTCATTTGGGAGTTGTAGTTGCTGGGATTTATAGTTTACCTATAATCAAAGAGCATTCTGAACTCCACCAACGATGGAATTGAACCAAACTTGGCACACAGAACTCCCATGACCAACAGAAAATACTGGAAGGGTTTGGTGGGCATTGACCTTGAGTTTGGGAGTTGTAGTTCACCTACATCCAGAGAGCACTGTGGACTCAAACAATGATGGATCTGGACCAAACTTGGCACAAATATTCCATATGCCCAAATATGAACACAGATGGAGTTTGGGGGAAATAGACCTTGGCATTTGGGAGTTGTAGTTACTGGGATTTATAGTTCACCTACAATCAAAGACCATTCTGAATGAACCCCACGAATGACAGAACTGGGGCAAACTTCCCACACAGAACCCCCATGACCAACAGAAAATACTTAAGGCCATCCAGTCCAACTACCTTCACCAGGGCTAGAAAACATAATCAAAGCCCTACTGAGAGAGAGCCATCCAGCCATAGATATAGATAGAAATATATGATTCACACACACACAGATAAAGTATTACAGATTTGAAAGGGACTCCTAAAAATGGACAATTATATGTTGCATGTTCCAGAGTAGGCAAACCAGACAATCCCTACATCAACACTGTCAAAGAAACATCAAGAAATACTGTTTACCCACAAGCAGAAAGACATTACATATATTAGAAACCAGTACTTTCTAATTAATTTATTTTCCATATCATCAGACTGGGCCACAGCACCGCGTGGCAGGGGACCGCTAGTAATATTATAATATCCCTCTTCTACTTCCTTCCTAATAATATAATAATAATCTATCATTCACTTTCTAATAATATTAACAATATTATAATAATATTATAATATCCACTCTCTTCCTAATAATAATAATAATAATAATAATAATAATAATAATAAGTTGTTGTAGGTTTTTTCAGGCTATATGGCCATGTTCTAGAGGCATTCTAGGAGAAAATGCCTCATTTTAGGAGAGAATGCCTCTAGAACATGGCCATATAGCCCGAAAAAACCTACAACAACCCAGTGATTCTGGCCATGAAAGCCTTCGACAATACAAAATAATAATAATAACAATAACAATAATAATAACTTTATTTTTATATCCTGCCACCATCTCCCTGAAGGGACTCGGGTTGGCTTACATGGGGACCAAGCCCAACAAAAACAGAATAAAAAATAGCACAATTAAAAAACATTGCATTTTGAGAATTAAAACAATAAAACCAAACAACAGACATCATATAATAATATATAATAGTCTCTTTCTTCCTTCCATTTAGTAATAATGATGTATTAATCTTTTCCTTACTTCCATCCAATAATAATACATTTATTGCCCTTCTCTCCTTCCTTCCTTCCTTCCTTCCTTCCTTCCTTCCTTCCTTCCTAATAATAATGTAATAATAAAAATAATATCTCTCCTTCATTTCCTTCCTTCCTTTCTAGTAATAATAATAATAATAATAATAATAATAATAATAATATATAATATAATATCCTTCACTTTCTTCCTAATATGGTCACTCTCTGGAATGGGGAGATGGCTAGGGCTGCCGATCCAATTCTGAGCACAATTCAAAGTGCTGGTCTTGACCTATTAAACCCTATACGGCTCCGGTCCAGCGTACCTGTCTGAACATATCTCCTACGTCCCACCTCAGAGCTTAAGATCGTCTGGGGAGGCCCTGCTCTCGGCCCCGCCTTTGTCTCAAACACGCTTGGCGGGGACGAGGGACAGGGCCTTCTCGGTGGTGGCCCCCCGCCTGTGGAATTTGCTCCCCGGGGAAATTAGGTCATCGTCATCCCTCCTCACCTTTAGAAAAAAGGTTAAAACGTGGCTGTGGGACCAGGCCTTCAGGCAATCAGGTTAAAGGACAATTGATAATGTTTGACTATGGCATGGAAGAGGATTTGGATAAGTTAAGCGGAGTAAATAAATAATAAATAAATAAATAATCATTAGTAGATGGCTAGCTAAATAGCCACCAGACGGGCAATAGCTAATCAGAGTGTAAGTATACTGTTTTAATCTTTATTTATTAATGTTCATGTTAATTGTTATATTTATTATTCTGTATTCTGTATTTTATGATGCGGCATTGAATTATTGGCAATTGTAAGCCGCCCTGAGTCCCCCTAGGGGTTGAGAAGGGCGGGGTAGAAATGTTTTAAATAAATAAATAAATAAATAAATAAATAAATAAATAGGGCAATAGACACAATTTCTCCGGAACGGCCCCTCTCAAGTAGCCGAGCTAAACCATCTCCTTGGTTCAACGAGGAGTTGGCAGCGATGAAGCGAAGGAAGAGGAGCCTAGAGAGCGTATGGCGTTCGGACCCGAGCGAGCCAAATCGAACACGGCTTGTGGTCTTTCTAAGGGCATATGCCATGGCAATAAAGGCCGCAAAGAAATCTTTCTTTGCGGCCAATATTGCGTCTGCAAAGAACCGTCCGGCAGGGCTGTTTCGAGTTGTCAGAGGTCTGTTAAATCCCACCGTTCCGGATGGGAACCCTGACAACTTGACAGCCCGCTGCGAAGCATTTGCTCGGTTCTTCATGGACAAAGTCGCTTTGATCCGTTCTGATCTAGACGCCATGTTAACGGCAGTCTCTGAGGATGTAACGAGAGCATCTGCTTGTCCGATTTTAATGGATTCATTTCAATTGTGAAACCTGAGGATGTGGACAAGATACTTGGAGGAATGAGGCCAACCACATGCATCCTGGACCCCTGCCCATCCTGGCTTCTAAAGGAGGCCAGAGGGGGATTGGCCGAGTGGGTGAAGGTGGTGGTTAATGCCTCCCTTCAGGAAGGCAACATTCCAGCGAGCTTAAAACAAGCTATCATAAAATCGCTGTTGAAGAAATCATCACTGGACCCCACTCAATTCATCAACTATCGGCCTTTTTCCAATCTCCCCTTTTTGGGCAAAGTCTTGGAATGTGTGGTGGCCTCACAACTCCAGGTATTCTTGGAAGACACAGATTATCAGGACCCGGCAGAGTCTGGAACCGCGACCGCCTTGGTCGCCTTAGTTGTTGATCTGCGCCGGGAGCTCGACAGGGGGAGTGTGTCCCTGTTGGTTCTGCTGGACCACTCAGCGGCCTTCGATACTGTTGACCACGGTATCCTTCTGGGATGCCTCGCTGGAATGGGCCTGGGAGGCACTGTTTTGCAGTGGCTCCGGTCCTTTCTGGAGGGTCGTACCCAGATGATGTTACTGGGGGACACCTGTCTCAACCCACAACCATGTTGTTGTGGGGTTCCACAGGGTTCTCTACTGTCCCCCATGTTGTTCAACATCTACATGAAGCCGCTGGGGAAGATCATCAGGAGTTTTGGAGTTGGGTGCATCTGTATGCAGATGATGTCCAAATCTGTCACTCCTTTCCACCTGTTACTAAGTAGGCTGTTCAGGTCAATCGGTGCTTGGCAGCTGTGTCAGCACTGGATGAGGGCTAACAAATTGAAATTGAATCCAGACAAGACAGAGGTTCTCCTGGTCAGTCAAGGCCGAACAGGGCATAGGGTTACAGCCTGTGCTGGATGGGGTCGCACTCCCCCTGAAGACGCAGGTTCGCAGCTTGGGTGTGACCCTGGACTCATCGCTGAGCCTGGAACCCCAGGTTTCGGCGGTGACCAGGGGAGCATTTGCACAGTTAAAGCTTGTGCGCCAGCTGCGCCCGTACCTTGGGAAGTCTGACTTGGCCACGGTAGTCCACACTCTGGTTACATCCCGTATAGACTACTGCAACGCTCTCTACGTGGGGTTGCCTTTGAAAAATGTCCAGAAGCTTCAACTGGTCCAACGGACAGCAGCCAGATTGCTAACTGGAGCGGCTCTCAAGGAGCATACAACCCCCTTGTTGCGCCAGCTTCACTGGCTGTCAGTTCGCTACCGGGCACAATTTAAAGTGCTGGTTCTAGCCTATAAAGCCCTAAACAGTTCTGGCCCAACTTACCTGTCCGAACGTATCTCCCCTTATGAACCACCTACGACCTTGAGATCATCCGGAGAGGCTCTGCTCTCGGCCCCGCCTTCGTCACAGGTACGTTTGGCGGGGACGAGAGACAGGGCCTTCTCAGCGGTGGCCCCCCGGCTATGGAACGCCCTCCCCTCTTAACGTTTCGGAAGCAACTCAAAACGTGGCTGTTTGAGCAAGCGTTCACAAACAGAGTAACGGATACAGATAACTGACATAGGAACTGATGACTGACGATGGAACTGGACAATGCTTGACAATAAGGAGACGTCAATGATGCTGTTTTTATTGTTGTTGTGATTTATGTAATTTCAATGTTTTAAATTGTATTATGATACTATGTATACTGTTTTGTTGGAAACTGCCTTGAGTCACCGATAGGCTGAGAAAGGCGGTATACAAATACAGTAAATAAATAAATAAATAAATAATATTAATATTCTTCCTTCCCTTCCTTCCGAATATTAAATATAATTCAGTAATAATAATATTCCTTTTTTCCCTAACAATATTAAAATATAATAATAATAATAATAATAATAATAAAATCCACCTTCTTCCTAATAATAATATAGTAGAATAACAATAGTACTAATGATAACTGACTTTCCCCTACATGTCTCCTTCAGGGCTCGTGATCTGAGGTTGCGCCACGCACGGAAGGCGGAGGAGCGTGAGCAGCAGCGTGCGTCGCTCCGCTTGTCGGCCTTTGTGAATCAGGCGTGTGAGGAGGAGGCCACCGTGTGTGAAGCCACAGCGCTGGAGGCTGGGGAAGGGCCTTCCCCACTCGTGGCCCAGGCAGGCACCCCTGGCGCCTGACAGAACAATGGCCACCAAGCAGGAAACGCCCAGAGGTCACTTCCGATACATTTCTCGGATTTTTTATCATTTACTTCCTGCTTTGGGGGAAGAAGAAAGCGGAAAGAAGTGGACCGTCCATTCGGTGTCATTTCGGGCACAAAATGGGGTCTGGACAGCAAACCGGATGGAGATGGAAACTTCTGGAAGGTTCCAGAAAGTTTCAGAAACTTCCTGAATGTTTCTGAGAAAGTCTGGAAAGTTCCGGAAAGTTCCAGAAAAGAAACGATTCAGAAACTTCTGGAAGGTTCCAGAAACAAGTTCGAATGGTTTTTCCTGTGTTGCGGTGGGGGACGAGGACGGCATTTGAATGTATATTTTGGCTTTGGCTCTCTTTCTTTCTCTGTCCTTTTCTGGACTCGTTAATCGGCATTCGTTAATTTTTCCTCCCGGAAACGATTGAGATCAGCTCCAAAGCCAGGTGGGAAAGAGGTCGTTCTCACTTAGGAAATTCCCCATATAATTTAAAAACTTGCTAAATATGGTAAATAACAAGAATAAGATTCATGAAGGAAGGGATGTTTTGGGTAAATTACAAGGACAACAAGGCCACCTTCTTGTTTTTGATGAGACAAATGTTGTTTGGGAAGATTTAATCGGGAATTTTCTGATAATATGCAAATTAAAATTGGGAATTTTCCAAGGAAAGAAATTGTAAATTAAATTGGGATTTTTTTCTCATCAAATTGAAAATTAAATTGGGATTTTCTGATAAAATCATTAAAAATTGAAATCCAAATTTTCTGACCAAATTGGTTTTCAGATGAAGTAATTTGAAAATTAAGTCAGGATTTTCAGAAAAATTGGAACATTTTCCATCTCATTCTCTTTTCCAGGTGGTTTCGGAAATTTCCGAAAGGTTCTGGAAATGCCTGGAAAGTTTCAGACAGATTCATTCATCTAGGTTCCTAAATGTCTAAAATGCAAGCCAATGTTTTCTTATGGATTCATGTTTATTCAAAGAATATTTCTTTTTATATAAATATAACATTTGAAAGACCTTTGAATATCGTTTTTCTTTGTCGGTGTTTGAAAACCCTCATCAATTGTACGATTAAAAGAAGGAAACGATGTTCAATTAGATTTCTGTCATTCCTTGAATTTGAAAATTAGAAATCGATTTATTGCTTTATTTATTCCAGTTTTATGGTGAAAAATATACATAATTTCAGTTAACAGCAGATTAATTGTCCCTTTAAAAAGAGCATTAAGGTAATAAAAAATCCCCTCTGAAAAATCTATTGTTCTGTAACAGGAAGTGGACCCAGTTACCGGAATCCGAAAGAGAGAAAGAGGTAGAGAAAGACCTGACAATATGGCCGCCTTTTCGAGTCATAAATTAAAAGACAATATATATATATATATATATCCCTCCCGGAATATTCGAACTAATTATATTCGAACTTAGTGTTGATAAACCCATTTGGTCCATTTGTAGGAGTAGTAGTGTGTCTTTGGTGGAGTTGTAGAGGTGGTTCTGGAAAAGCAAAAAAAAAAAGAGGGCTGCCCTTTTCTAAGATGGCCGTCCCCCTTACTAATTGGCCATGGCGCCCAGTAATCCACAAGAAGCTGAAAACAACCAAGAGAAAGAAAGTCACTTGCAATATTCTCGGTTTTCCCGGAAGCATGGCTGATTTCTTGTTGCGGTATCCAGGAATCCAAAAGAAGCTGAAAACAATCAAAGGAATGGCGTCGTTTGCAATATTCTCATTTTTCTGGAAGCTTCTGGAAGTGTTGAATTATGCCATTTTTCCAGAACATTCTAGGCATCAGGTGACTGTCGGCGGACGAGTCCAAACTGGGCAGTAACGGTGTGGTCCAGTTCTTCCAGTTCGGAGGGAAGCGGGATTCCCAGTTCTCCCAGATAAAGGGCCAGCGCCTCCAAGGAATCCTCCAGCTTTGAAAAGGGTGGCCTGGCGGGAGGAGGAGGAGGAGGAGTAGCATTAGTATTAGTATTATTACATAATTATTATTTGCCTGAATTATTAAATAAATAAAAACAATAATGTTTTTATTTATTGATTTAAGACTAGTAAATGATTTAAATAATAATATTGTTATTTAATAATAGTTAATATTTTTATAATGTATAATGTTTTTATTTATTTAATAATAAATGTAAATAATTTTGATAATATTTTAATCTAAATAAAAACATTATTACAATTACCATTTACCTTTATTATTAATTAAATCAATAGATAAAAGCCATATTATTTTAATTACGATCATTATTTACATTTATTAGTAAATAAATAAAACCAATATTGTTATTATAATCATTGGCATTTGGTATTAAATAAATAAATAAAACCATGATTATTATTTACATTGATTATATTCTGATATATTAAAATATTAAAATGTATTTGATTTATTGATATATTAAAATATTTAAATGCATTTAATATATTCTAATATTAAAATATATTTAATATATTCAAATATATTAAATGCATTTAATATATTCAATTACATTAAAATGCATTTAACATATTCTGATATATTCCAATATTAAAATGTATTTAAGATATTCCAATATATTGAAATGTATTTAATATATTAAAATATATTAAATATATTATTATATTCCAATATATTAAAATGCAGGATTAAATACATTTTAATATATTGGAATATATGAAATGCATTTAATATATTCCAATATAGAGATGTCTTAAATATCTTCCAATATATTTAATTATTTAAATGCATTTAATGTATTCTGATATAGTAAAATATTAAAGTGTATTTCATATATTCCAATATATTAAAATGTATCTCACATATTCCAATATATTAAAATGCATTAGATATCTTCCGATTATTATTTAATATATTTCAGTATATTCCAATATGGAAATGCATGGACTGAGACCAACCGGCCCTCGGGCTGGAGGCAGCAGGAGTGGACGGCCAGTGGGAAGAAGGCGGGTGGGCAGTCGCTGGGAACGAACTTCTCCCAGAAGAGGACCACGTTGAGGCCAAAGTCCAGCTGCCGCGGGAGGACGTCTGGGTCTGCATACACCTGGCCGATGATCTGGAAGCAGGAAGAAGAAATTTATTATCAGTATCATTATAAGTATTATATTGTAATATATTTTATCATTATATGATCATTTATTATTTATATGTTTAAAAAGAACTAATATGATAAAATAATTACAATGATATAATAATAATAATAATAATAATGTAGCTGACCTCGCAAAGGACGATCCCAAAGGAGAAGATGTCCACCTTCTCATCGTAGCTCTGTCCTATAACATAAGGAATATATATTGACAAAAGTGTATATATATATATATATATATATATATATATATACACACACACACTATATATGCTGCCTAAAGCTATTACATAAATAGAAAACCCAGTAAGGAAAGAATTAGTTTAATACTGTTATATTGTTATATATTTTATTATATTTTTATCATTATATAGTATTATTATTATTATTATTATTATTATATTTTATACTAATTTATCATTATAATATATAGTATTGGTATTACTGTATTATATCTCATATATTATTATATATTTTATATTTTTATCATTACATATTATATATTTTATTGTATTTGTATCATACAGTGTTATTTATTGTATTATATAGTATTACTATGATAGTATATATCATATATATTTTATTCGTATCATTATTATATTACATTATTATATATTTTATTATCTTTTATCATCATTATATAGTAGTAGTGTTATATTATATTTCTATCATTTTATAGTATTTTTAATTTTTTATTATACAGTATTATTATATATTGTATTATATTTGTATTGTTATATAGTATTATGATTATTATATATTTTATTATATTTGTATCAGTATTATGTATTTTATTATATTTTCATCATTATTATTATTATATAATATTAGTATTGTAATAGATTTCAAGATATGTTTACATACCGTTAAGCATCTCGGGGGCCATCCAGAAGGGGTTCCCCACCACGGTGTAGCGCTTCCTGCGGCCGCTCTTCCTCAGGCTTCGCCTCCGGCCTGGTTGTGAGAGGGGCCAACCAAGCGCCGCTCCCGCTGGCTCTGCCCCCTCCACATCCTCCTTTGCAATCAGCCGCGAGAGGCCAAAGTCCGCCACCACCACCTGGGAGTCCTATATAAATATATAATAATAATATATAATAAAGCATCTAATATATGTTAATATGTTCACGTCCAACAGATGGCGTTGTTTTTGATAAAACGCATATTTTTCCAGTCACAGGTGTGACATCTATATAATCGTAGGCATGTGAAAACATAAAAACACACACCTATTCGAATACTACGTTATGTCAAATTTTTAAAGCAATCGGTGAAGTATTTTGGGAGATTTAAGGTTTTAAACAAACATTTACATTTTTATTTATATAGATTTTATTATGAAATGTTGAGACAGAAGCTCACCCGCTTAATGAGACAGTTATGTGAGTTCAAGTCGCGGTGGATGATGGACATCGAATGCAGGTAGGCCTGGGGAAGAATATATGATATAATAAATAAAATTAAATATAATTCATTTCATATAATATAATTAAATATAATTAATATAATATAATATAATAGTCTACTAGAATCCAAGGTCTGGGAGAAGACCTTGGTTGGCTTCTGATACAATAAATAAATAAATCCCAGAGATGAAATCTTTTAAAATGCAATATTTAATACAATATAAAATAAAATTATAATATAAATGTAATACAATATAAATACAATATTAATATAATATAAATGTATTTTATACAATATAAAATAAAATTATAATATAAATGTAATACAATATAAATACAATATTAATATAATATATTTTATCTCACCATCCAAATATAATGTAATACAATATAATATTAATATAAGATATAACTATACATATAATACAATATTGATATAACATTAATATAGTAATATTGCTATAATATAATATCACAATAATATAAATGTTTTATCTCACCATCCAAATATATTAATATAACACTTTAATATAATACATTATTAATATAATAATACAACATAAATGTAATATTAATATAATATTAATATAATAATACAATATAAATATAACATTTGAATACACATGTGTATTTAGAGTAAAACTAGCAGTCCAGGAATAGAAAAAAGGCCACCAAAAATGATCCTAGTAACCACTCACAGCCTAGCTATCATTTTACATCAGCAGTAGAAGAAATGTAAACTCAGCTCTAGCAACCATTGTGCAGCTTTCCTTTTACCTCAGCAGTAGAATAACTAATCACTGTGCATTTTCCTTTTACCTCAGCAGTATAAGAAATGAAAGCTGAGCTGTGATTGGTTGTTATTGGCAACACAAATAGAACCAGGGAATGTGTTTGGGATTTTTAGCACCGGTGGTTTTGCTGGCCATAGAACGGGTTTTAGGAGTTGAATCGAGAAGAAGAGCAGCACAATCGTCTCAACAACGCCAAGAACAATTAGATCTAGAGTAAAGATGTACGCAGCTGCAATATCTGAATTATTGAGTTTCATATCCTTAAGTCAGGATTGTTAAATACAGCAGCCTTTAGTTCTACGTCATAGTACCACATTCATTAATCATCTGTAATGCCTTGCCCACGTTTGAACATAGGCCGCAGTTGCACCTCATAAAGGTGCAGACGTACTACTTTCCTTTCCTTTCACTCCACAGCAACGCAAGGTAGGGTATTGAACTGAATGATGTGTTTCCTCAGTGAATCTATGTTTGCAACAATACTTTTATTTACTTCCACATTCATTTTATATCAGACTGAGCCACAGCAAAGAGTGGCCGGGTTTAGGTAGTATAATCTATATATATAAAAATGTTGTTTTCATTTTGAGTGACATCATAACTCAAAATCCGCTGGATGAATTGCCATCAAATTTGACAACAAGACGCCTACTAACCCAAGAAGTGACCATCACTCAAAAAAAAAATGATTTTGTCATTTGGGAGTTGTAGTTGCTGGGATTTATAGTTAACCTACCATCAAATAGCATTCTGAACTCCACCAATGATGGAATTGAACCAAACTTGGCACACAGGACTCCCATATTTATTTATTGTGTCAGGAGCAACCAGACATTTGTATTACATTTTTAACAAAGCAAACAAACAGACAGACAAACACAAAGTTTGCAAGCTTGGTAGTTGATTAAATGTCCTTTGATCAGTATCTGGCCACTTGGAGTGCCTCTGGTGTTGCCGCAAGGAGGTTCTCCATTGTGCATGTAGCAGGGCTCAGGTTGCAGGACTCCCATGACCAACAGAAAAAACTAGAAGGGTTTGGTGGGCATTGACCTTGAGTTTTGGAGTTATAGTTCACCTACATCCAGAGAGCAGTGTGGACTCAAACAGTGATGGATCTGGACCAAACTTGGCACGAATACTTCATATGCCCAAATATGAATACAGATAGAGTTTGGGGAAAACAGATCTTGACATTTGGGAGTTGTAGTTGATGGGATTTAAAGTTCACCTACAATCAAAGAGCATTCTGGACCCCACCAACAAAAGAATTGGGACAAACGTCCCACACAGAATCCCCATGATCAACAGAAAATACTGTGTTTTCTGGTGGTCTTTGGCAACCCTTCTGACACCCTCTCGCAGCCCCCTCCAGGGCTCCTGACCCCCAGGTTGAGAAATGCTGTCTCAAAGCCATGCAGACCAACTCCCTACACCAGGACAAGAAGACATAAAGCCCTCTTGACAAAGAGCCATCCAGCCATAGATATAGATAGATACATATGATTCACACACACACATATATATGTATATGGCAGATATAGAATCATAGATTTGAAAGGGACCCCTAAAGAAGGACAATTATATGTTCCTGTTCCAGAGGGGGCAAACCAGACAATCTCTACATCAACACTGACAAAGAAACAATAAGAAATACTGTTTACCCACAAGCATCAAGACATTACATATATTAGAAACCAACACTTTCTCATTACTTTATTTTCCAGATCACCAGACTATGGCACAGCAACGCCTGGCAGGAGATGGCTAGTATAATATAAATATAGATATATGGTAATCTCACCATCCCGGAGGCGATGTCCTTGGAGAAGCTGACCTTCTTCTCCCAAGGAAAGGGGTCCTAGGAGAGAGAACGAAAGAGGTGGAAAAGGTTATCATTGATTCCTTCCCCCCTTCCTTCCAAGATGGTGGGCGGGCACTTGTCCTGGCCCTTCCCGCCACTCACCGCACTGCGCAGGAAGTCCTTCAAGGTCCCGCCCTCGATATACTCAGTCAGGAGGTTGAGCTTCCTGTCTTTGTAAAGGACCCCCAGGAAGCGCAGCACGTTCGGGTGGCCCAGGCTGCGCATGAGTTTCACCTGAAATGGATAATATCATAAATATAAATATAATATAATAAAATATAATAATTCTAATATAATATATATGAGGTCAAAGGGGATGACCTCCAACCTCAGTGAGGAAAGTCTTCTGGGTCTCTTCGTTGCAGCGAATCAGTTCCTTCATCACCATCACTTTTCCTGTTGCTTTGTGTGTCACCTGCACAAATAAAATAATAATAATCATCATCATCATCATCATTTATGATAATTTATGCACCCTGTAAAATCGCAGCCATCTTGGAAAATGCAAAACACATGCCCAAAAGACAATAACAGTCATGATAATAATATATAATAGGAATAATAAATTCAGCAGTTCAGCCTAGATTATATATATTAATATAATAATAACAACAACAATAATAACTTTATTTGTATTCTGCCCTATCTCCCTGATTATAATACAATCTATATATATAAAAATGCTCTGTGCATAATGAGTAACTTAAAAACGAACCAATGAACGAAATCACACCAAATTTGGCAACAAAATGTCTCACAACACAAGGAATGACTATCACTTAAAAATTATGATTTTGTCATTTGGGAGTTGTAGTTGCTAGGATTTATAGTTCACCTATAATCAATGAGCATTCTGAACTCCACCAACAATGGAATTGAACCAAACTTGGCACACAGGACTCCCGTGACCAACAGAAAATACTGGACGGGTTTGGTGGGCATTGGCCTTGAATTTTGGAATTGTAGTTCACCTCCATTCAGAGAACACTGTGAACTCAAACAATGATGGATCTGGACCAAACTTGACAGGAATACTCAATATGCCCAAAGGTGAACACAGATGGAGTTTGGGGGAAATAGACCTTGACATTTGGGAGTTGTAGTTACTAGGATGTATAGTTCACCTACAATCAAAGAGCATTCCGAAACCCACCAACGATGGAATTGGGCCAAACATCCCACACAGAACCCCATGACCAACCAACAGAAAATTCTGTGTTTTCTGGTGGTCTTTGGTGACCCTTCTGACACCCGCCTGGTGACCCCCCTCCCGGGGTCTTGACTTCCCAGGTTGAGAAATGATGCCTTAAGGCCATCCAGTCCAACTCCCTTCACCAGGGCAAGAAAACATAAAGCCCTCCTGACAAAATTCCATCCAGCCATTCCCACACACACATATATACGTATATTACAGATGTAGTATCAAAGATTTGAAAGGGACCCCTAAAGAAGGACACTGATCTGTTGCATGTTCCAGAGGAGGCAAACCAGACAATCTCCACATCAACACTGGCAAAGAAACAGCAAGAAATACTGTTTACCCACAAGCAGAAAGACATTACATATATTAGAAACCAACACTTTCTCATTACTTTATTTTCAAGATCACCAGACTGGGCCACAGCAACGTGTGGCAGGGGAATGCTAGTATATAATATAATAGCATTAAATAGCAATTAAAATATAATATAGTATATAACGGAATAGACGACACACCTTGAGGGCCCGGCCAAAGAAGCCCTTTCCCAGGACCTCTCCGTGGAGCAGGTCGGAGGGGCGGAAGATCTGCGGGGAGGAAGGGTCAGAGCGAAGGGACTCTGAGCGCCACAAGTCCCGTCCCCAAACCGGGTGGGCCTCCTTTGGGGAACCCGGGGCTGGCGAGCGCGATGTGCTGTTACTCCGTCTGGCAATAATATAAATGATAATATGATATATAATAAGAATTGATTATTATTATAATGTAATATATAATGATAGAATTAAAAGAATAAAATAATTATAATAATGATAGAATTCCAATAATATAATATAAATGAAAATATATATAATAGAACTAAAATAATAAAATATGTGATAATAATATAATAATTATAATGGTAATAACAGACTTAATATAATATAAACTATAACAATATTATGTAATATATAATAATGATATGATTGAAAAATAATAATGTATTATATAATGATGATACTAGTGTAATTAAAATAATATAATAATAAAATGCAATATATAATAATAGAATTAAAATTATAAAATAATATAAACTATAATATATAATAAAAATACTGTATTATAATAATTAAATAATAATTATAATATACAATATATAATATATTATAATAAAATGTACAAAGAATAATATAATTAAAGAGTAATATATGAAATAAACACAAACTATATTATAACAATATAATAATATAATAATGTGATAAAATAATATAATACTATTATAATATATAAAAAACCAAATATATTATTATATTATAATATATGAAATGAACACAAATCATGTTATAATATAGCAATATAATAATAATAATAATAATAATAATAATAATAATATAATGAACCATATATAATAATATTATAATGCAATAGGCGATAAATATATGAAATACCGGAGGGAGCGCCTTTGGGGGGAGGCCCTGCCCCCTTCCACCTCCTCTTCCAATCGCAGCTCCTCCAGCCGCTCCAGGCTCTGCCCCGAATAGCTCATAGGCTTCCTAATAATATACAATGGAATAATACACAAAGAAGACAAATATATATATATATATAAATAAACATATAAGGCGACTGGGCGTATAAGACGACCCCCAACTTTTCCAGTTAAAATATAGAGTTTGGGATATACTTGCCATATAAGACTACCCCTCTTCCAACACACCAAATAAAAAGTTTAAAAGCATCAGATTTGATTTCAATATGTTAATTTCCCTATTATTGTACCTCCTTCTCTGCCTCTCAGATCTCGCAACTGCGCACCTGCACCACTTCACTGCAGTCTTCAGGAGCGAGATCTGAGAGGCAGAGGAGGAGGTACGGTAATAGGATACAAGGGCAGGCCACACAGGTAAAAGAGGTGTGTTTGTCTGGGCCCAGAGCCACTCTTCTCTTTTTTCCATACCCCGGGCACCCCGGACGCCTGCAGCTTGCTCCGCCCTTCACTTACACCTTTCCCTAGGCACCCCTTCAACTAACCATCAGGACCGCATTAAGTCCACAAATCCTGATGAATGGATTTTCTTCTACCGTACTTGTACAGCGTCGCCCTTAATGCTTTCATACAGTTGCTGTGTATGGCAGGGACGCGGCCACTGCCATTTTTGGCTCCCCCCACAATATGCAGCAACCACAGATTCTCCAATCCAAATTGGAAGTTTCAGCGCCCGCTCTATAAGACAACCCCACATATAAGGCTACTCCCACGACCCCAGACTTTTGTGAAGATTTTCTTGGGTTAAAAAGTAGTCTTATACGCCAGAAAATACGGGATATATAGACACACATAACATATTATTATAATATTTTAATAATAATAATAATAATAAAAATAATGGAGATGGGGGCTACTCACTCCGTGGCACAGGTGCCTCCTCCCCCTGTCTCCACGGCAATGCCCTTTGATCCCTGGTTGACCTCTGAGGTGGAAAAGAGGCTCAGGCACTTCGCACTAGGAAGAAATAAACAGATAGATAGATCTAGATCAGTGTTTCTCAACCTTCTTAATGCTGTGACCCCTTAATGCAGTTCCCCATGTTGTGGTGACCCTCAATCATAACATTATTGCCGAAGGCTTTCATGGCTGGAATCACCAGAGGGTTGTTGTAGGTTTTTTTCGGGCTGTATGGCCATGTTCTAGAGGCATTATCTCCTGACGTTTCGCCTGCATCTATGGCAAGCATCCTCGGAGGTTGTGAGGTCTGACGTCAGGAGAGAATGCCTCTAGAACATGGCGACATAGCCCGAAAAAACCTACAACAACCCATAATTTTATTGCTACTTCATAACTGTAATTTTTTTTCTCATAATGTAAATATCTGATCTGCAGGGATGTATTTTCATTCACTGGACCAAATATGGCACAACTCCATTGGGGGAGGTTGAAGGATTTTGTCATTTGGGAGTTGTAGTTGATGGGATTTATAGTTCACCTACAATCAAAGAGCATTCTGAACTCCAACGATGGAATTGGGCCAAACTTGGCACACAGAACTCCCATGATCAATAGAAAATACTATAAGGGTTTGGTGGGCATTGACCTTGAGTGTTGTAGTTCACTTATATCCAGAGAGCAGTGTGGACTCAAACAATGGTGGATCTGGACCACACTTGGCACAAATACTCAATAATAATAATAATAATAATAATAATAATAATAATAATAATAAACTTTATTTGTATCCAGCCACCATCTCCCCAAAGGGGACTCGGAGCGGATTACATGGGGCCAAGCCGGAACAAGAATTACAATATAACAATGCAAATTGCAATCAAATAAACAACATAACATTAAAATATAAAACATCAAAGCATATAAAACAATATACACAAAACATAGGAACTAAGCATAATGACAGAAAGACAAAGGGCAGGCCGCATGTACATAAAATGATTTTAAAACTCCAGGTGAGATAAGGGGGGAGAACTAATTGTAAAGGTGAACTCATAGAGAGATAGAAAATTAAGGCAACCTTTGTAGGGGGGGGGGGGCTCCTTGGACAAGCATAAAATTATGTGGCAGAGCCAGGTCTAAAGACTCTTTTTAAAAGTTTCCAAGGTCGGGGGCTTTCCTAATCTCTCCGAGCAGTGAATTCCAAAGTCGGGGGCCACAGAGGAGAAGGCTCTCTCCCTTGTACCCACAAGGTGAGTCTGAGAGACTGGTAAGGGTGAAAGGAGGGCCTCGCCTGAAGATCGAAGGGTACGGGCTGGTTCATGGAGAGAGATACGGTCACGAAGGTAGGCGGGTTCCAAACTGTTTAGGGCTTTATAGGTAAGAACCTGTACCTTGAATTGGGACTGGAAGATGAACGGCAGCCAATGGAGCTCCTTAAACAGGGGGGTTGACCTCTCCCCGTAAGTTGCCCCAGTTATTAATCTGGCTACCGACTGTTGGACAAGTTTGTAATTTCCGGGCCGTCTTCAAGAGTAGCCCCACGTAGAGAGCATTGCAATAGTCCAGTCTATTATGCCCAAATGTGAACAATGGTGGAATTTGGGGAAAATAGACCTTGAGATTAATTGTCCTGTCTAATATGCCTAAATGTGAACAATGGTGGAGTTTGGGGAAAATAGACCTTGAGATTAATAGTCCCGTCTAATATGCCCAAATGTGAACAATGGTGGAGTTTGGGGAAAATAGACCTTGAGATTTGGGAGTTGTAATTGCTGGGATTTATAGTTCACCTACAATCAAAGCATTCTGAACCCCACCAACAACAGAATTGGGCCAAACTTCTCACAGAGAACCCCCATGCTTTGAAGGGACCCGCTGGCGAGAGCCTCCCTCCAACCTTGCACACTCTCCCTCACTTGCACATGCGCACCACACTGCTATGCACTGAGCACGCCTGCTCTCCCCTTCCCACTTGGAGTCTCAGAAACAGCCCTGCCCTGGACTGAGAGGCCGGCCAATCACAGCGGAGGAGGGCTTTTGGTGGGAGGATTTGCCGTCTGTTTCCAAAAGGGAAGTGAAGGACAGGTGGAGAGATCTTCAGCCTTCTCTGTCAAAGGGGTTCCGAAGACCATCAGAAATATGTGTTTTCTGATGGTCTTTGGCAGCCCCTCTGAACCCTCCTCGCAACCCACCCCCAGGTTGAGAAATGATGAGATAGATAAAGAGAGTGTTCAATTCCTCAACTCACCAATAGAGGGCCGAACGTTGGACAAAGGCATGAGGGTCGCCATCCTCGATTATGACCTTGCAGCTCTGGCAAGCAAAGCATTCTGGGTGGAATTTGGACTCCCCCGACACCTAATAAGGATATATAGAATAATTATAATAATTATAATATATAACATAATCATAATAATAATCTTTATTTATACCCCTTCCCCTCTCCCCAGTGGGAGTCGGAGTTAATAATATACAATATACAAAAGTATGTATAAAATTGCAATATTATAATAGTACAATATTATAATATATAAAATAATAAGATGATGATGATTATATAATAGAATCATAGAATCATAGAGTTGCAAGAGATCTCGTGGGCCATCCAGTCCAACCCCCTGCCAAGCAGAATAATTGAATTCAAAGCACCCCCGACAGATGGCAATCCAGCCTCTGTTTAAGAAGCCTCCAAAGGAGCCTCCACCACACTTTGGAGCAGAGAGTTCCACTGCTGAACGGCTCTCACAGACTGATAGTTCTTCGTAATGTTCAGGTGGAATCTTCCTTCCTGTAATTTGAAGCCATTGCTCTGCATCTAGTCTCCAGGGAAGCAGAAAACAAGCTTGCTCCCTCCTCCCTATTACTTCCTCTCACATTTATACATGACCATCATGTCTCCTCTCAGCCTTCTCTTCTTCAGGGTAAACATGCCCAGCTCCAAAGAAGGAGCCTCCACCACACTCTGGGGCAGAGAGTTCCACTGCTGAATAGCTCACATAGTCAATAAGTTCTTCCTAATGTTCGGGTGGAATCTCCTTTATTTCCTGTAGTTTGAAGCTATTGTTCCATTGCGTCCCAGTCTCCAGAGCAGCAGAAAACAAGCTTGCTACCCCCTCCCTATGACTTCCCCTCACATGGCCATCATGTCTCCTCTCAGCCTTCTCTTCTGAAGGCTAAACATGCCCAGCTCTTTAAGCCGTTCCTCATAGGGCTTGTTCGCCAGACCCTTGATCATTTTAGTCGCCCTCCTCTGGACACATTCCAGGTTGTCAATATCTCTCTTAAATTGTGGTGCCCAGAATTGGACACAATATTCCAGATGTGGCAGAATAGAGCGGTAGCATGACTTCCCTGGATCTAGACACTATATTCCTATTGATGCAGGCCAAAATCCTGTTGGCTTTTTTTGCCACCGCATGACATTGTTGGCTCATGTTCACTTTCCTGTTCACGAGGACTCCCAAGATCTTTTCAACACGTACTGCTCTCGAGCCATGCGTCCCTCATTCTGTATCTTTGCATTTCAATTATTATATAAAATGATTTCAAATATTATATAAAATAATATAGAAATTAACGTATCAACAATATGATTTTTGTTGTTGTTTATTCGTTCAGTTGCTTCCGACTTTTCATGACCTCATGGACCAGCCCATGCTGTCACCATCCCCAGCTCTTTCAGAGTCAAGCCCAGTCACTTCAAGGATGCCATCCATCCATCTTGCCCTTGGTCGGCCCCTCTTCCTTTTTCCTTCCATTTTCCCCAGCATCATTGTCTTCTCTAAGCTTTCCTTTCTTCTCATGATGTGGCCAAAGTACTTCATCTTGGCCTCTACTATCCTTCCCTCCAATGAGCAGTCGGGCTTTATTTCCTGGAGGATGGACTGGTTGGATCTTCTCGCTATCCAAGGCACTCTCAGAACTTTCCTCCAACACCACAGTTCAAAAGCATCTATCTTCCTTTGCTCAGCCTTCCTTATGGTCCAGCTCTCACATCCAAGATGAAGTACTTTAGCCACATAATGAGAAGATATAGAGAAGGCAATTTTGCTGGGGAAAATGGAAGGAAAAAGGAAGAGGGGCCGACCGAGGGCAAGATGGATGGATGGCATCCTTCAAGTGACTGGCTTGACTCTGAAGGCGCTGGGGGAGGTGACGGCCCACAAGGAGCTCTGGCACGGGCTCGTCCATGAGGTCACAAAGAGTTGGAATCGACTGAACGAATGAACAACAACAGACAATACCATTGCTGTTGCCCGTTTTTGGTCAAAAGATATTTAGCCACCTGTGCTCCTTCTATTTTTATCGGTTTTATACTAATTTATGCAATGCTTTTAATATGAAATAAATAAATAAACAAATAATTCCCATCAATCCTCCAGATAGATAGATTCGATCAGTGGTTCTCAACCCGTGGTTCCCCAGATGTGTTGGCGTTCAACTCCCAGAAATCCTAAGGGCTGGTAAACTGGCTGGGATTTCTGGGAGTTGTAGGCCAAAACACCTGGGGACCCACAGGTTGAGAACCACTGAATTAGATAGACAGTAGGTAGATAGATCAATCAATCAGGAGGACTGCTGGGAGTTGCAGTCGAAGAATAGATAGAGAAGGAAGAAAGGAAGGAAAGAATAAAAGGGAAGGAAGGAAAGAAAGAGGGTGGGAAGGTTGGCCACAGCAATGCTTGGCAGGTACAGCTATTAAAATAGTAATAACATACAAAATGAGAATATATTGATTATATGTATGTGTGTGTAACGAATAACAGATTAATAATACAAATATAACGATGATAATCTATATAAATAAAAATGTAATGTTCATTTGTGGGATTAACAGAACTCAAAAACAACTGGATGAATTGACACCAAATTTGGACACAAGACACCTAACAACTCAATGTATGTCCTTCACTCAAAAATTGATTTTTGTTATTTGGGAGTTGTAGTTGCTGGGATTTATAGTTAACCTACAATCAAAGAGCATTCTGAACCCCACCAACGATGGAACTGAACCAAACTTGGCACACAGAACTCCCATGACCAACAGAAAATACTGAAAGGGTTTGGTGGGCAGTGTCCTTTGGTTTTGGAATTGTAGTTCACCTACATCCAGAGATCACTGTGGACTCAAACAATGATGGATCTGGAACAAACTCTACAGGAAAACTCAATATGCCCAAATGTGAACACTGGTGGAGTTTGGGGAAAATATAATCTTGACATTTGGGAGTTGTAGTTGCTGAGATTTATAGTTCACCTACAATCACAGAGCATTCTGAACCCCACCAATGATAGAATTGGGCCAAACCTCCCACACAGAACCCCCACGTGGGCCACAGCAAAATGTGGCAGGGGACGGCTAGTCTATATAAATAAAAATGTAATGTTCGTTTGTGGGAGTAACATAACACAAAAACCACTGGATTAATTGCTGAATTTTATTTATTGTTGTATTACTGTTGCTATTGTTTTATTGTTGTATTGTGTTCTCGGCCTCATGTAAGCCGCACCGAGTCCCTTGAGAGTACAAATAAAGTTTAATAATAATAATAATAATAATAATAATAATAATAATAATGAATGGACACCAAATTTGGACACAATACACCTATCAGGCCAACGAGTGACCATCACTCATAAAAACAGTGAAAAACACAGCAGAGACGACCTAAAAAGCCAAAAAACAAAAATTACATTACAACGCATGCACAAACCCACATATATACACATATACACAAATATATACACGCACACACAAATATACACACAAACACACATACACAGACTGGGTCACAGCAATGGGTGGCAGGGGACAGCTAGATATAAAAAATGTAATGTTCGTTTGTGGGATTAACATAACTCAAAAATCACTGGATGAATTGACACCAAATTTGGACACAAGACACCTAACAACCCAATGTATGTCCTTCACTCGTTGTTCATTCGTTCAGTCATCTCCGACTCTTCGTGACCTAGAATCATAGATAGAATCATAGAATCAAAGAGTTGGAAGAGACCTCATGGGCCATCCAGTCCAACCCCCTGCCAAGAAGCAGGAATATTGCATTCAAATCACCCCTGACAGATGGCCATCCAGCCCCTGTTTAAAAGCTTCCAAAGAAGGAGCCTCCACCACACTCCGGGGCAGAGAGTTCCACTGCTGAACGGCTCTCACAGTCAGGAAGTTCTTCCTAATGTTCAGATGGAATCTACATACCTATAGTTTGAAGCCATTGTTCCGCGTCCTAGTCTCCAGGGCAGCAGAAAACAAGCTTGCTCCCTCCTCCCTATGACTTCCTCTCACATATTTATACATGGTTATCATGTCTCAGTCTTCTCTTCTGAAGGCTAAACATGCCCAGCTCAGAGCTCCCTGTTGGCTGTCACCACCCCCAGCTCCTTCAAGGTCAATCCAGTCACTTCAAGGACCCATCCATCCATCTTGCCCTTGGTCGGCCCCTCTTCCTTTTTCCTTCCATTTTCCCCAGCATCATTGTCTTCTCTAAGCTTTCTGTCTTCTCATGATGTGGCCAAAGTACTTCAACTTGGCCTCTACTATCCTTCCCTCCAGTGAGCAGTCGGGCTTTATTTCCTGAAGTATGGACTGGTTGGATCTTCTCGAGGTCCAAGGCACTCTCAGAACTTTCCTCCAACACCACAGTTCAAAAGCATCTATCTTCCTTCGCTCAGCCTTCCCTAAGGTCCAGCTCTCACATCCGTAGGTTACTACAGGGAATACCATGGCTTTGACTAGGCGGATCTTTGTTGCCAGTGTGATGTCTGTACTCTTTACTATTTTATCGAGATTGGACATTGCTCTCCTCCCAAGAAGTAAGTGTCTTCTGATTTCCTGGCCACAGTCTGCATCTGCAGTAATCTTTGCCCCTAGAAATACAAAGTCTGTCACGGCCTCCACGTTTTCTCCCTCTATTTTCCAGTTGTCAATCATTCTTGTTGCCATAATCTTGGTTTTTTTTTATGTTTAGCTGCAACCCAGCTTTTGCGCTTTCTTCTTTCACCTTGATTAGAAGGCTCCTCAGCTCCTCCTCGCTTTCGGCCATCAGAGTGGTGTCATCTGCATATCTGAGGATGTTAATGTTTCTTCCAGCAATTTTCACCCCAGCTTTGCATTCATCAAGCCCTGCACATCGCATGATGTGTTCTTCATACACGTTAAAAAGGTTGGGGAGAGGATGCAGCCTTGCCGTACGCCTTTCCCAATCTTGAACCAGTCTGTTGTTCCGTGGTCAGTTCTGACTGTTGCTACTTGGTCCTTGTACAGATTCCTCAGGAGAGAGACAAGGTGGCTTGGTATGCCCATCCACCAAGAACTTGCCACAATTTATTATGATCCACACAGTCAAAGGCTTTGGAATAGTCAATGAAACAGAAATAGATTTTTTTCTGAAACTCCCTGCCTTTCTCCATTATCCAGCGGATATTGGCAATCTGGTCTCTCGTTCCTCTGCCTTTTCTAAACCCAGCTTGAACATCTGGCAACTCTCGCTCCATGTATTGCTGGAGTCTTCCTTGCAGTATCTTGAGCATTACCTTACTGGCATGAGAAATAAGGGCCACTGTACGGAAGTTTGAGCAGTCTTTCGCATTTCCCTTTTTTGGTATGGGGATATAAGTTGATTTTTTCCAGTCTGATGGCCATTCTTGTGTTTTCCAAATTTGCTGGCATATGGCATGCATCACCTTGACAGCATCATCTTTTAAGAATTTAAACAGTTTAGATGGGATCTCGTCATCTCCTGCTGCCTTGTTGTTAGCAATGCTTCTTAAGGCCCATTCAACCTCACTCCTCAGGATGTCTGGTTCTAATTCCCTCACCACACCATCAAAACTATCCTCGATATTATTATCCTTCCTATACAGATCTTCTGTATAGTCTCGCCACCTTCTCTTGATCTCTTCAGCTTCTGTTAGGTCCCTGCCATCTTTGTTTCTTATCACTCATAAAAACACTGAAAAACACACCAGAAGGGACTTAAAGGCCCAAAGAATACATTACAATGCATTCACAAAACCACACACACATATATACAAAAAAAATATGCACACATATACACACAATACACATATACACAGACTGGGCCACAGCAACGCGTGGCAGGGGACGGCTAGTCTATGATAATGAACGATATGATCTGAGGAGCAGCCCCACCCTTCCTTCCCCGTTCCCTCCCTCCTGCTCCTCCCGCGTTGCCTGGCAACAGCGAGCCCCTCCCTTCGCCCTCCTTACAACGGAGAGAGCGGATTCCGTTTGTCCCTCACCGGCCTCCTTCGCCGCCGCGTCTCCTCCATCGCGGTCCACCATAGCGCGTGACGTCACCCTTCACCTGGGCGCCTCAGGCCCCGCCCCTCGACCAATCAGCGCTGCCGCTCCTCCCAGCCCTCGCCTCCACTCCCCCTCCCTTGACTCTGTCGTCACTCCTGGCCAATCAAAACGCGGGGGGTGTGGCCACACTGAAGCACGCCTCGCTCCTTGCGAAGGCTCCCTCTCATTCACTCCAGGGGACCGCGGGGCTCCGCCCACTGAGTGACGTCACCCCGCGGCAAGGGTGGGAAAAAGGTCCTTGAGTTATTCTCTTATTAATATTATTAAAATATTAAAAAAATAATTAATTCAGCGACAGAGGGCTGGGAGGCCATAGAATCATAATGATAAGCTGATAATATATAAAATAATAACAAAATAGATCATATAATATATACAATAATGTGTAAAATAGTAATCTATAAAATAATATAAATATCACATAATATATAAAATATTAATCATAACAAAATATAATATATAATATATAAAATAATGTGTAAAATAGCAATACAATATATGAAATAATATGAATATCACATAATATATAAAATAGTATATAATATAAATATTATATAATATAATGATAAAATGTGTAAAATAGCAATACAATCTATAAAATAATATAAATATCACATAATATATAAAATATTAATAATAATACAATATTATATATATATAAAATAATATATAAATATTATATAATATAATAATATATAAAATAATGTGTAAAATAGCAATACAATATGTGAAATAATATAAATATCACATAATATATAAAATATTAATAATATAATATAATATATATAATATAATATATAAAATAATGTGTAAAATAGCAATACAATATATAAAATAATATGAATATCACATAATATATAAAATATTAACAATAATACAATATAACATTATAAAATAATATATGAATATTATATAATATATAAAATAATGTGTATAATAGCAATACAATCTATAAAATAATATAAATATCATATATATAGAATATTAATCATAATGAAATATAATATATTGTTGTTGTTCATTCGTTCAGTCGTCTCCGACTCTTCGTGACCTCATGGACCAGTCCACGCCAGAGCTCCCTGTCGGCCGTCACCACCCCCAGCTCCTTCAAGGTCAGTCCAGTCACTTCAAGGATGCCATCCATCCATCTTGCCCTTGGTCGGCCCCTCTTCCTTTTGCCTTCCACTTTCCCCAGCATAATTGTCTTCTCTAGGCTTTGCTGTCTATTCATGATGTGGCCAAAGTACTTCAACTTTGTCTCTAGTCTCCTTCCCTCCAGTGAGCAGTCGGGCTTTATTTCCTGGAGGATGGACTGGTTGGATCTTCTCGCAGTCCAAGGCACTCTCAGAACTTTCCTCCAACACCACAGCTCAGAAGCATCGATATATAATGTATAATATATAAAAATATATTTATATAATATATAAAATGTAAAATAATATATAATATAAATATATAATAAAATAATATAAAATAATATAAATATATAAAATAATATAAAATAATAATATATAAATTACAATATAATACAATAACATAAATATTATACAAAATAATAATACAATATAACAATGTATAAAATGTGTAAAATAGCAATACAATATATAAAATAATATAAATATAACATAATATATAAAATATTAATAATAATACAATATAATATATAATATATAAAATAATTTATAGATATTATACAATATAATAATATATAAAATAATGTGTAAAATAGCAATACAACATGTGAAATAATATAAATATCACATAATATATAAAATATTAATCATAATACAATATAATATATAAATATAAAATAATATAATATATAAATTACAATGTAATACAATACTATAAAATATTATATAAAATAATAATACAATATAACAATGTATAAAATAATATATATATTATATAAATAAAGGTAGAAGTTTTCCCCTGACATTAAGTCTAGTTGTATCTGACTCTAGGGGTTGGTGCTCTTATTTCTAAACTGAAGAGCTGGCGTTGTCCATAGACACCTCCAAGGTCAAGTGGCCAGCATGACTGCATGGCGCGCCGTTACCTTCCCGCAGAAGCGATACCTATTGATCTAATCACATTTGCATGCTTTCGAACTGCTAGGTTGGCAGAAGCTGGGGCTAACAGCGAGAGCTCACCCCACTCTCGGGATCTGAACCACTAACCTTTCGGTCAGCAAATTCAGCAGCTCAGTTGTTTAACCCGCTGTGCTACCAGTACGGCCTTAAATATAAATACAAATGTATAATAATAATAATAATAATAATAATAATAATATATGTTGGTGTTGTTTGATTCAATATGGTGATGAGGCCTAAGGGCTAACCAATAAAATGTATTTATTAAGAATAATAATCTAATAAATACTAATAATCCCTGTGTGTGTTTCTCTTTTTTTAGAGGCCAAAAATGGAAGGGAAAGCAAATCCAGCCATTGATCTTTCTCTCTCTCTTTCTCTCCCTCTTTCTCTTTCTCCCTCCTTCTCTTCTCCTTCCCTCCATCCAGATCTCCTCCTCCTCTCTTCCCTGCAAAAAAAGCCAGAGCAAGAAGAGAAGGAGGAAGGGAAGGAAGGAAGAAGGGCAGAACCCCCCCGCTTTGCACTCTTTTACTCTCTTTTTCATTCCTTCCTTCTCTCCCTTCCCTCCTCCTTTTTCTCCCTTGATCCCTTGCATAGAGACACCTCCAAGATCATGTGGCCGGAGCAATGTTATCTTCCCACAGAAGCAGTACCTATTGATCTACTCACATTTGCATTGATCTACTCACATTGGCTTCAAACTACAAGAAAGGAAATTCCATCTGAACATTAGGAAGAACTTCCTGACTGTAAGACTGTGGTTTTTAAATGATTTAAAATGTATTTATATTATTTTAATACTAAAATATTAAATACTTGGATTGCTGAAAGTGAGAAGGAGCCGAGGAGCCTTCTAAGCAAGGTGAAAGAAGAAAGTGCAAAAGCTGGGTTGCAATTCAACATTTTAAAAAACCCAAGATTATGGCAACCGGACTGATTGGTAACTGGCAAGCAGAGGGAGAAAACGTGGAGGCCGTGACAGACTTTGTATTTCTAGCCACAAAGAGTACTGCAGATGCAGACTGCAGCCAGGACATCAGAAGATGTTGCCTTCTTGGGAGGAAAGCAATGACCAATCTCGATAAAATAGTTAATCCGATCCACGATGGCTATCAAGATCGCCTCCAAGGAAGAAAGACAAGGCGCAAAATGAACACCCAAGCCCTTCAGCAGTCCTCCAGACGAGCCCTTCTCTAAACAGCACTCAAGGACCATCTACTCACAGAACACCCTGGAAATGTTGAGGAACATTGGAACAAACTGAAGCCCTCCATCATCACAGCCTGTGAAGAAACTATTGGATATCAAACCAAGAAACATCAAGATTGGTTTGACAAAATGACAACGAGATCCAACAGCTAATTGACAAGAAAAGGAAAGCCTTCCAAACATGGCAGGGAGACATCAACTGTGCTGCTAAGAAAAAGATCTACACCAGTGCAAAAGCTGAAGTCCAAAGAAGGACAAGAGAACTCAAGAACATCTGTGGACAAAGAAGGCTGAAGAAATCCAACACCTGGCAGATACCCATGATGCTCAGGGATTTTTCAAAGCCACAAAGGTCATCTATGGACCAAGAAACCATGGCATACAGCCTCTACGCTCATCAGATGGAACCAAACTTCTGAAGGACAAAAACTCAATTGCACTACGTTGGAAAGAACACTACCAAAGCCTCCTGAACCGCAGCTCCAATGTGGCCGAAGAGGTTCTCTCACAAATCCCGCAACAACAAACCAGGGATGAGCTTGCAGCACTGCCTAGTTTGGAAGAAGTCAGCAACACCATCAGCCAACAAAAAAATAACAAAGCCAGCGGACCTGATGGGATCCCTGCTGCACTCTTTAAAGAGGGAGGACCTGAGCTGACACAACAACTCCACCAGTTCATCGAAAAAGTGTGGGTAACCGAGAAAATCCCAACAGACTTCAAGGACGCCACCATCATCACCCTTTTCGAAAAAGGGGAAAGACCAGACTGCGGAAACTATCGAGGTATCTCCCTTCTAACCTCAGCTGGGAAAATCCTCGTAAGACACCCTCCCAGAATCCCAGAACGGCTTCTGCCCCTCCAGAGGAACAGTGGACATGATTTTCACTGCACGACAAGAAAAAGGCAGGGAACAAAATCAACCTCTGTACATGGCATTCATTGACTTTGCAAAGGCATTCAACACAGTGAATCGCAGCGCTCTCTGGACCATCCTCCAAAAAATTGGGTTCCCTGATAAATTTTTGAGCATCCTGCAGCTCCTCCCTGTTGACATGATAGCAACAGTCTTAGACAGAAGTGGCTCCCAAAGTGACCCATTTAAGGTGGAATCAGGTGTCAAACAGGGAGGTGTTATTGCCCCAACCTTATTTTCCACTATACTTCACCTTGTTGATGGGAAGCTTCCCACTGGAGTGGAAATCATCTATCAGACAGATGGCAAGCTATTTAACCTCTGCAGACTGAAAGCCAAAGCCAAGGTCACAACAACATCTGTATGCTGATGTCAACATAGTCTATGCATTCAGAAGAAGACTTAAAAGCCATTCTAAACACCCTTGCAGAAGCATACAAGAAGCTTGGCCTCTCATTGCACATCAAGAAAACCAAAGTTCTCTTCCAGCAGGTACCAGCCAATCCCTTTCCAATGCCAGAAAAATACCTTAATGGTGTAACAGCAGAGTTTGAGGACCGGGGCATCCGTAGGGAGACCAAGGTGCTTGTTTCCCAGTTTCTGGTTGGCTCTTCCGAAGCAGAACCAGAACAGGAAGCTATCGTCCTCCCAACCCTTGCAAAATGTGGACTATCTATAGACTCCATCAGCATTGATTCCATCAGCATTACCTCCAAAAAAATCCTGCAAATCTCTTGGGAAGACAGGCGGACAAGAAGCAAAGACCACCAGCCTAGAAGTAATGCTCCTACCCCATCAACTCTGCTGGACCGGCTACGTTGTCCGAAGGCCCGAAGATCACCATTGTCTCCCAGAGCAGTTACTCTACTCCGAACTTAATGGGAAACATAATGTTGGTGGACAGGAAAAGAGACTTAAAGATGAGCTTAAAGCCAACCTTAAAAACTGGCATAGACACAGAGAACTGGGAAGCCCTGACCCTTGAGCGCTCTAACTGGAGGTCAGCTGTGACCAGCAGTGCTGCAGAATTTGAAGAGGCACGAATGTAGGGTGAAAGAGAGAAACGTGCCAAGAGGAAGGCGCATCAAGCCAACCCCGACCGGGACTGCCACCCACCTGGAAACCAATGCCCTCGCTGTGGGAGAAGATGCCGATCAAGAATAGGGCTCCACAGCCACCTACAGACCCACCCCCAGGACACCAAACTTGGAGGACCATCATCCTCGGACTACAAGGGATCGCCTAAGTAAGTAAGCAAGCTGGACTTGGTATAATATACATTCCATTATTCGATTGAAGAATAACAATGCTTAAAAGTATTAAAAACATGAGGAAATATTTTCATATTTTCAACAATAATAGGTCAAAACATACCAAACATCTCACCTACGTCATCTCAACAATGCTAACTCCTACTTCCTCCCATGGCTATCATGAGTTGGAAGCGACATGCAATCTACTATTTAAATGGCAGCCCTCTTGCCCTGGTAGGATTGTAAGTGGGTTTTTTTGAGTTGCTGAGGGAATTGCCCTATGGTAATGAATTAAGTGAATCAAATTGTTGAAGAATTTTAGCTAATTGGTGTCTCCCAGCCTGACTCCCTCAATCCTGACTTAATTGGCAGTAGCTACTGTGAGCAATGGGAGTCTATTCTCCTCCTGATCAGGACGCATGAGACTGAAGTTCCAACCTCCCCTCCCTCCAGCGATCTTGGATGTAACAGTCAAAAAGAGGATCCCTGCCAAAATTTGTACTCGTACCACAAATTGCTTGCAGGAAGAAAATGGGAATCTTAACCTGCTGCAAATTGATTGACAGGAGAATAGACCTCTCATTGCTCACAGTAGTTGCTGCCTGGTAAGTCAGGACTTTTATGATTCCTGTGTATTCCCTACAAAAATGAAAATAAAGATATTGAGAACACGAAAAACAAGGAGGCGATAGGGCCTCTTCGAGGAGAAGATGGGGCAATGCTGACAGGGGGTAGGGAAAAGGCAGAACTACTTAATGCCTTCTTTGCCTCGGTCTTCTCACAAAAAGAAAGTCATCTTCAACCTCAGCAAGATGGAGTGGATGAGGGATTAGAGGACATCCAACCCCAAATTGGGAAACAAGTCGTCCAGGAATACCTGGCTACTCTAAATGAGTTCAAGTCCCCAGGGCCAGATCAACTACACCCAAGAGTATTGAAGGAACTAGCGGAAGTCATTCAGAACCATTGGCAATCATCTTTGAGAGTTCTTGGAGAACGGGAGAACTTCCAGCAGATTAGTGAAGGGCCAATGTGGGGGGAAAAGGATGACCCAAACAATTACTGTCCAGTCAGCCTCACGTCGATACCAGGCAAAATTCTGGAAAAGATTGTTAAGTAAGTGGTCTGCAAAGACTTAGAAACAAATACGGTCATTGCTAATAGTCAACATGGATTTATCAAAAACAAGTCATGCCAGACTAATCTGATCTCTTTTTTCGATAGAGTTACAAGCTGGGTAGATGCGGGGAATGCCGTGGATGTAGCGTACCTGGATTTCAGTAAGGCCTTCGACAAGGTCCCCCATGACCTTCTGGCAAGGAAACTAGTGCAATGTGGGCTAGGCAAAACTACGGTGAGGTGGATCTGTAATTGGTTAAATGGACGAACCCAGAGGGTGCTCACCAATGCTTCCTCTTCATCTTGGAAAGAAGTGACGAGCGGAGTGCCGCAAGGTTCCGTCCTGGTCCTGTTCAACATCTTTATTAATGACTTAGATGAAGGGTTAGAGGGCAGGATCATCAAGTTTGCAGACGACACCAAATTGGGAGGGATAGCCAATACTCCAGAGGACAGGAGCAGGATTCAAAACGATCTTGACAGATTAGAGAGATGGGCCAAAACTAACAAAATGAAGTTCAACAGGGACAAATGCAAGATACTCCACTTTGGCAGGAAAAACGAAATGCAAAGAGACAGAATGGGGGACAATGCCTGGCTCGAGAGCAGGACGTGTGAAAAAGATCTTGGAGTCCTCGTGGACAACAAGTTAAACATGAGCCAACAATGTGATGTGGCGGCAAAAAAAGCCAATGGGATTTTGGCCTGCATCAATAGGAGCATAGTGTCTAGATCTAGGGAAGTCATGCTACCTCTCTATTCTGCTTTGGTTAGACCACACCTGGAATATTGTGTCCAATTCTGGGCACCACAATTGAAGATATTGACAAGCTGGAATGTGTCCAGAGGAGGGTGACTAAAATGATCAAGGGTCTGGAGAACAAGCCCTATGAGGAGCGGCTTAAGGAGCTGGGTATGTTTAACCTGAAGAAGAGAAGCCTGAGAGGAGACATGATAAATATGTGAGAGGAAGTCATAGGGAGGAGGGAGCAAGCTTGTTTTCTGCTTCCCTGGAGATTAGGACATGGAACAATGGCTTCAAACTACAAGAAAGGAGATTCCATCTGAACATGAGGAAGAACTTCCTGACTGTGAGAGCCGTTCAGCAGTGGAACTCTCTGCCCTGGAGTGTGGTGGAGGCTCCTTCTTTGGAAGCTTTTAAACAGAGGCTGGATGGCCATCTGTCAGGGGTGCTTTGAATACAATATTCTTGCTTCTTGGCAGGGGGTTGGACTGGATGGCCCATGAGGACTCTTCCAACTCTATGATTCTATGATTCTACGAGTCAGTTGTGCACATGCAACTCCAGATTACAGATTTGTAACTGCAATTCGGAACTCAGTCAATGGTGCCAAAAGAACGGACCTCTTTCATATGCCATTGGCAGCAAGAATAATATGCAAAAGATGAAGAAAATGAAAGATATATCTCAAAAATGGTATGTTAAACATTGGGAGTTAGATAAATTGAATAAAATTACTTGGTGTGCACACATAAATATATGATATATAACATATTTATATATTGTTTATATAATAAAATAATTTAATTATTTTTATAAGGACCCAATAAATATTTTTCCCAATTAAAAATACCTTTATTATCCTTCAAATGCATCCAAAAATATAAAAAATGAAAGAGGTGATATATATATTTAAATATATAAAAATGTTATATATATATATGTTTTAATGCCAAAACATTTCATATTTTAACTGCAAATAATACAACAGACCAAAAATAATATTTTCATTGCAAATGAAATAATCTAAATAAGGAATAATAATAAACATTTTATTACTATTGTTTTGTTGTAAATGAAATCATTTAAATGTGGAAATTATATTTATAATATTTATTAATTCATTTGGCTTCCAAAATAATATTTTGTGAAAATAACATAATTCAACAAATAATGCAAATAATAATATTTTCTTTTTATTATCATTCATTATTGTATTGCATTTATGCCATTAGGTCCCAGTGTTTCATTATGTTGTAAAAAATCCAAAAAATATTTCACATTTTTCACCATTTTTTCCATTGTAAAAATCCAGAGAAATATTTCCATTATTTTCGTTGCAATATCCAGGGAAATATTTCTAATTTTCCCAACTTTTTTATTACACAAATCTGGATAAATATTTTTCATTATACCTATTTTTTCATAGAATTTTTTTTTTCATAGGAAAAATCCAAGGAATTTATTCACATATCCACCGATTTTTTCATTGTAAAAATCCGGAGAAATATTTATAATTATTCTATCGATGTATTCATTGCAAAAATGTGGAGAAAGATTTCTAATTTATCTGTTGCAAAAACCTAGAGAAATGTTTCTAATTTATTCGTTGCAAAATCCAGAGAAATATTTCACATTTATTAGCCCATTCCTTTTGTTGGAAAAATCTGGAGAAATATTTATAATTATTTCATTGCAAAAATCCAGGGAAGCATTTCTAATTATTCTACCAATATTTGTTGCAGAATGTAGATAAATATTTCTAAATTATTCATTGCAAACATTCAGAAAAAATATTGCATAGATCCAGGAAAAAATCAGAAAAAATATTTGTAATTTATTCATTGCAAAAATCTGGGGAAATGTTTATAATTATTCCATTACAAAAATCCAGAGCAATGTTTTTTGCAAAATCTGGGGAAACATTTCTAATTTATTCATTGCACCAATCCAGGGAAATATTTCACATTTTTCCACCAATTTTTTCATTGCAAAAATGCAGGGAAATATTATTATTCTACCGATTTATTATTATTCTACAAATTTATTCATTGTAAAAATGTGGATAAATATTTCCATTTTTTTCATTGCATAAATCTGGAAAAATATTTCAAATTTCTTTTGTTGCAAAAATCCAGAGAACTATTTCATTGCAAAAATCTAGAGAAGCAATTCTAATTATTCTACCATTTTTTGTTGCAAAATCCAGGGAAATATTTCTAATTTATTCATTGCAACAATCTGGGGAAATATTTCACATTTCTGCCATTTTTTTTGTTGCAAAAATCCAAAGAAACATTTCTAATTTATTTGATGCAAAAACCTGGAAAAATGTTTTGCATTTATTTGTTGCAAAAATCCAGAAAACATTTTTTATTGATCCACTGCAAAAAGTTGTGCACTGCAAAAATTGGAGAAATATTTCATTGTTTTGCGAATCTTTTCACTGCAAAATGTGGAGAAATCGTTCTCATTTTTTCATTGCAAAAATGTGAAGAATGATTTCTCATTTCTTAGTTGCAAAAATCCAGAGAATTATTTCACATCTTAAAGCAAATTTATTCGTTGCACAAATCCGGGGAAATAGTTTTGATTTATTCATTGCAAACACCTGGAGAAATATTTCACATTGTTTTGCAAAAATGCGATTTCTAATTTCTTCGTTGCAAAACCCGGAGAATTGTGTCACAGTTTGCTTTTGTTTTTTGCAAATTAATTGATTGCACAAATCCGGGGAACTGTTGCAAATGTTGGAGAAATGCAGGGGGTGGGCGAGGTCAGGCAATGAGGAGCCAGAACATGATGAGCAGGGCCACAAACAAGAAGAGGCGGGACAGGAACTGCTCGTCGATGTACTGCGGGGTCCCTGGGGCAGCTGCGGGAGGGAAGGAGGGAGGAAGCAATGGTTAGCACAGGCTGTTAGGAATTGTGGGTGTTGAAGTCCATAACACCTGGAGCGCCTGATGTCATGATCTCTATCACATGCCATCCAACTATCCGCCTTTCTGACCCATGGCACCATGGGCCAGAAAGGAAGACAGGACATATGAACCAGCCATAAAAGTCAATTGCCCCAAGGTGGAGGAGAGTGGGCTCTGGAATGTGGAAAGGGGCTAGCTCCAGGCACCAGGACTCCTGAGTGATTTATTATATTTTAGCTAGGACTATATAGATGGGCGGTAGTGCATGACTCTCATATTCCGAACATTAAAGACATTTGGTATCTTCAGCCCTTCTGTGTCTCTGCCTGTTTTTTCAGAGAAGACTGATCCACAGCAACACAAGAAACACCTTACACCAGTGTTTCTCAACCTTCCTAATGCCGCGACCCCTTAATCCAGTTCCTCATGTTGTGGAGACCCCCAACCATAACATTATTTTCATTGCTACTTCATAAATGTCATTTTACTACTGTTATGAACTGTAATGTAAATATCTGATATGCAGGATGTACACACTAAACCCCCATGATGAACAGAAAATACTGTTTTCTGATGGTCTTTGGCGACCCCTCTGACACCCCCTTGTGACCCCCCTCCCAGGAGTCCCGACCCTCAGGTTGAGAAACACTGCCTTACACCCAAGTTTGCCCATTCCTGGATTAGCACTTCCTCCTGGATAGCCTGTTCTCTCACTCCCAAACCATTCACATGGACGCACCTGGAGGGGGCCGCCCATCGTTGACGTTGAAGGCGGTGGCGAAGATCCCGAAAGGGAAGGCCCCAATCCCAAAAGACATCTGGAATCCCCCATCCCCGAAGCCAAAGCCCTGGAAGCCCTGCAGAAATAGGAAGGCAGCCAATAACTTTGTTCCAAAACTAAACATGTGACAAAATGGCCTCCTTGTGCTCTTTTCTTCATCTTACTGTTACCCTACACCTATACGGACCTTTCCAGCAAACAGGAAATGACCCAATGCTACTTCCTGTTTGACAGGAAGGGCGTTAGAAACTACAGAATCTGACATAAAAGCCTCCTTGTGTCCTCTTCCTCCTCCCACTGTTTTTCTACACCTATATGGACCTTTGCACCAAACAGGAAGTGACCCAATACCACTTCCTGTTTTGGAATGAATGCATTCCGAACCCAAATGTGTGACAAAATGTCCTCCTTGTGTCTCTTCTTTCTTCCACTGTTTTTTACACCTACATGGACCTTTTCACAAAACAGGAAGTGACCCAATACTACTTCCTATTTATAGGCAATAGTGCAAATGGCTCACCCCTCGGTTTTCCGGTTCGGGCCTCTGTCCCTGAGGTCTCGGCGGGGTTTTCTCTCTGGAAATTAAGGATAATAATAAATATAAATAATATAAATAATAAATGCAATATAATATTAACACATTGATATAATAGTAAAATAAATATAATAATACAAAATAAATAAAATATAATATCTGATAATAAAGAATAAATAAATATAATATGAAGTATAAATAATACTAATAAATGCAATATAACATTAATATACTAGTAACTAAAATAATAAAATATAACAAATAATAATAATCATAATGATGATGTCCAACCTCCCCCTCACCTGGGGTCCTGCTGCCCGGTGCTCCCCCTCCCATAAAGAGGGATGACTTTATCTCTGCTGATTCCTGCTTTGCACACCGGACACACTTGCCGGTTTGGACGGGTTTCTAGCCACTGGAAAATAAACGTATTATTTTATTATTACTATATAATTTTATTACATTTCTTTGTTAACTATTTTTATTATATGGTTATACTAATATTTGATTTTACTAGTTATATGATTCATTATATTAATATTATATTAATTAGTATTGCTATATTGTATTTATTACAATATTTTATTATAAATATATATATTATTGTATTAATATTTTGCATTTATTAGTACTACTATATTATATTGATTATATATTATAAATATATTATTGTTATATTATTATATTTCATTATCATATTTATTTATATTGTATTTTAGTTTACTAGTTATATCATTTATTATATTGTTATATCAATATTGTATTGCATTTATTATTACTATATTATATTCATTACTATATGTTGTTATATTTATTGTATCTATTATAATTATATAAAATACTATTATTACTATATGATTATATTACATTTCATTATATTAATATTATATGGCATTTATAAGTATCACTATATATTTATTATTATATTACTATATTATATTACATTTCACTCTTATCATATTACTTTTATTTTTTATATGTATAGTTTATCGTTACTATGTTTATTATATTATAATTATAATATTACATTTGTTGTATTATTATATTATTACTATAGTCTCATCTTAATTATATTCATTCATTCATTCATTTCCTTACCTGGTGCAAACAAGGCCAGCTGTGAGGATGGATCCACCATAGAAAAAAAGGAGAAGAGAGAAGAAAGTGTCAGTCTAGATGCCCTTTGGGAACCCTGCTCTATTCAATTATATAGAATGAGATATGAAATACTCTATAATATAATAAATATACTATAATAATATAATGAAGTAATACCATAATTATTATACATTATAATGGATATATAACATAATCTAAAATGTTATAATAATGTATAACATTTATTTAGAATATATTTAATTTTAACATAAATATATTGACTTGGAATATCTAATTTAATATAACATTTATTATATTATCATTATGATTATAATAATATAAGGATAATAATACAATATCATAATAATAAATAATACCCTTACATGTTAATATAATGATAATGATCTATTATAACATGTGATCCAATTCAACAGCCAGCAGAGAGTGTGCTGTGGACTCATCTTGTTGTGTTTCAAATAATAATAATAATAATAGTAATAATAATAATAGTTAAAAATATTCTTCGGATTATGACTTTACTGATGAGATGTGATGGGTTAGTTATATGGATGTATTGACGTTATATTGATGTATTGATGTGCTGTTATATTGATGTAGTTGCCTTAGTTACTGTTTTAAATGCTAGTGTTGTGCACTTTGTATATTGACCTGGTTGTAAACCGCACTGAGTCGCCTGCGGGCTGAGAGAGTGCGGTATACAAATAAAGTAAATAAATAAATATTATTATTACTGTGAATAGCTTCATGATTTTTGTGAATATTTTAATGATTATTTCTGTGAATATTTTAATGCTATAATAATATAATGAAAGAACAATACTAAATGTACGACTAATAATAATGAGGATGAGAACTGACCAGAAGAGGTGGCCGCAAAGGCTAATGACGGCATCCTTGGCGGTGTCCAAGCAGATGTTGCACTCGAAGGTACTGTCCTGCCCGCCCGGTCCCTCTCCGTTCGTGCTTGAGGCATTGCTACTGCTGCTGCTCAGGGTCGCCATCTTACATAAATGTAATAAGAATTATAATATATAATAATGCAATAATATAATATTAATATAATGATTACGTGTCTATACACATAATAAAAGCGAAAATGTGTATGTGGCGGAGGTGTCCACTTACACGGACAGTCTCCAGCCTCCACAAACAGCTATAACCCACAGTTTGGAACAGCCGCCAAAGCATTCCCTCCAAAGACATTGCAGGTTATAATGACCTCTGGAAACATGTCCAAGAGCCCAGCCAATGTCCTCCACAAACACCATACAGCACCCCCCCCCCCCACGCAAGTGAAGGCTTTCATTGGGGGACAATTTCATCCTGGATTTCCTGTTTTTCCTCCAGAACGGACATCCCAGGGTTCCTTTCTATCTCCATGGGTGTGGAATTTGCATGATCCTGCCCACTGCCTCTCCCTTAAGCCTTTCTTACCCTTTCCTATGGAACACAGCAAATAGAGGTATTGATCAGCAACCGAACAAGAGGTTTGGGGAGAATTCACCATGATTTATAGGAGGAGTTGTAGTTCACCTACATCCAGAGAGCAGTGTGTGTACCCAAACAATGACAGACCTGGACCAAACTTGCCACACAGACTCCCCATAATGCTCTTTACATCCTGGTGAAGTTTGGAGGACTGACCATGGGTGGTGGGATTTGCAGTACATTCACCCAATTTAGCTCCCACATGAATGACAGACCTGGACCAAATCTGGCACACAGACCCTTCATGACCCACTTTACATTCTGGTGCAGTTTGGGGGAGAATGGACTATGAATGATGAGCTTTGCAGTTCTTTCACACACATCCTGAGACTACTACAACCCCCATAAATGACAGACCTGGACCAAACTTGCCACACAGACCCCCCATGAACAACTTTGCGTCTTGGTAAGTTTTTGGAGAAGATTGACCAAGGATGATGGGAACTGCAGTATCTTCACTCACTTCCAGCAACCACTGCAACCCCCCCCCCACCCCCCAAAATGATGGATATGAACCAAATTTCCAACACAGACTCCCTATGATGCACTTTATGTCGGGTTGGGGAGGATGGACCACAAACAATTGGATTTGCAGTACCTTCACCCACTTACACAGACACCCCCATGAATGAGTGGCTTGGACCAAACTTGGGATACAAGACCCCATGACCAACAGAACATACTGGAGGGGTTTGGGGAAATAACCCGCCCGTGTGGGAGTTGTAGTTCACCCTACATCTAGAGCAGGGGTCCTCAAACCTTTTAAACAGAGGGCTTGGTCAAAGTCCCTCAAACTATTGGAGGGCCGGATTATAATTTGTTTTTTTAAAAAAACATGAATTAATTCCTACACACACCGCACATTATCTTATTTATGCAGAAAACACTTAAAAACAACAAAACAATAAAAATGAAGAACAATTTTCACAAATATAAACTTATTAGTGTTTCAATTGCTTTTGGCTGATGAGATAGGATTGTTGTTGTTGTGTGCTTTCAAATCGTTTCAGACTTAGGTCGATCCTGAGCAAGGGCCGGGTAAATGATCTTGGAGGGCCATATCTGGCCCCCGGGCCTTAGTTTGGGGACCCCTGATCTAGAGCATTCTGAACTCTCATCAATGACAGATCTGGCCCAAACTTTGAACACAGTACCCTGGTGACCAACATAACAAGTTGGAAGAGTTTGGGGAAGGATTACCCCACCCTTGTGGGAGTTGTACTTCACCCTGCACCCAGAGAGCATTCCGAAGCCTCCAATAGCAGATCCGGAACACACGTGGCACACAGAACCTTGATGACCAACAGAACATATGATACAATAATATAATAAATAAATATATAAAATATATTCCAGGATGTTTCCTATATTATCTATTAATATTTGATATATTGTAATATATTATGATAATGATATTCTACAATAGATTATTATTATTAAAATAATGATAATAATATAATAAATAATATAATACAGAAGTATAATATATTATTAAATCATATTATATCATATTATCATAATTATAACATTGCATTATATTTATTTGTTATATTCTACTATATATACCATAGAATGAGATAGAAAACATCCTAGAATATAATAAAAATAAATAATATAATGAAATAACAATAAATAAATAATAAAATACTAATAAAATCATAATAATACAATCATTCTAGCCTAATATAATAAAATAATATAAGCTATAATATCAATATAATATAATACTATAAAAAGATAATAATAAAAACTCATCTTACCTAAATTAACATGTAGAAATTCTAGTTGAAAATTCCTTTATTTGTATTTCAAAAAAGATTTTTTTTTGCCAATTTTCATATAATAAAACCCAGGAAGGAATGCTTCCTCGAATGAAGAAGGAGATCAATATTCATTTCAAAGTTTACAGCATCATGATGATTATTCTAAAGGAATTCCCCAAAGAAATGCATTGGTTTCCCAGGAAAAAATACTCCAAGGAATATCATAACACCATTGAAACCTATTGCATCATAATGGCATTCATCAAATATATTGCCTTCTTTAAAGGATTTAAATATTAAATACAAATATTATATTAGTATATTTATTTATTTAAATACTATAAATATCATTATCATTATTATATTATTGTAATATTCAAATTTATATTATTATTATTATTATTATTATTATTATTATTATTATTATTATGTATTTATCGTGTCAGGGGCAACCAGACCATTGTATTACATTTCTAACAGAACAAAACAAACAAACTGACACAAAACAAAGTTTGCAAGCTTGGTAGTTGATTAAATGTCCTTTGACCAGTATCTGGCCACTTGGAGTGCCTCTGGTGTTGCCGCAAGAAGGTCCTCCATTGTGCATGTGGCAGGGCTCAGGTAGAATTGCAGCAGGTGGTCAGTGGTTTGCTCTTCTCCACACTCGCATGTCATGGATTCCACTTTGTAGCCCCATTTCTGAAGGTTGGCTCTGCATCTCGTGGTGCCAGAGCGCAGTCTGTTCAGCGCCTTCCAAGTCACCCAGTCTTCTGTGTGCCCAGGGGGGAGTTTCTCACTTGGTATCAGCCATTGGTTGGGGTTCTGGGTTTGAGCCTGCCACTTTTGGACTCTTGCTTGCTGAGGTGTTCCAGCGAGTGTCTCTGTAGATCTTAGAAAACTATTTCTTGATATAAGGCGTTAATGTGCTGGCTGATACCCAAACAAGGGATGAGCTGGAGATGTCCCTGCCTTTGTCCTTTCACTATTGGCTGCTACTTCCCGAGGGATGTCAGGTGGAGCAATGCTGGCTAAACATCGTAATTTCCCCAATGGTGTAAGGCACAGACACCCTGTGATAATGTGGCATGTTTCATTAAGAGCCACATCTACTGTTTTAGCGTGGTGAGATGTGTTCCACACTGGGCATGCATACTCAGCAGCAGAGTAGCAAAGCACACAGGCAGATGTCTTCACTGTGTCTGGTTGTGATCCCCAGGTTGTGCCAGTCAGTTTTCGTATGATATTGTTTCTAGCACCCACATTTTGCTTGATATTCAGGCAGTGCTTCTTGTAGGTCAGGGCACGGTCCAGGGTGACTCCCAGGTATTTGGGTGTGCTGCAATGCTCCAGTGGTATTCCTTCCCAGGTGATCCTCAGAGCTCGGGGTGCTTGTCTGTTCTTAAGGTGAAAGGCACACGTCTGTGTTTTAGATAGATTAGGGATCAGTTGGTTTTCCCTGTAGTAGGCGGTAAGGACACCTAGAACTTCGGAGAGCTTCTGTTCTACCATCTCAAATCTCCCTGCTTGAGCAGTAATATATTCTAATATATTCTACAGACAGCCTTGCGCCTCCACAAACAGGCTCTAGTTCCAAGTGTTGAGAAGCCTCCAAAGGCACTCCCTCAACTGACATTACAGGTTACAGCACGCACCATGAACATGTATTCCAATCTCGGCCAATATCCTCCCCAAACACCATACTGCCCACAACCCAAGTGAAGGCTTTCATTCAGGCCAGGGCCGTAGCCGYGGGGTTGGGGGGGGGGGTGTTTAAGAGWRCTAAACACCCCACCCCGAAACCTGCTTRACTTATGAATTTTTAGCAAGTTTCCTTTTTAACGTGACACATTTAAGGGCAGGGTTGAACTTTTAAACCCCTCCCCCTCTCGCTACGGCCCTGATTCAGGGCCCATTTCATCTTAGATGTTTTGTTTTCCCTCSAGAATGGACATCCCAGTTCCACAGACCACTGCAACCCCCACAAATGAAAAGCCTAGACCACAAGYCCAACAGAACATACTGGAAGGAASATGTTACAGGATATGGATTTGTATAGTAAGTTTTGACAAGGATCATCTCCTATGTGGGTGTGTGTTGAGGAAGGACACCAGGACACTGAAGCAATTAAATGTGAGCCACTCCCTGATTAGTGTATATCAGGTGAAGTCTTTCTTGATGTATTCAGTGAGTGAGATGGTGTGTGAGAGAGAGGAGGTCTGATCTGATGATCAGAGACCAGATGGGACTAGACTACAAGAATTGCTGACTATTTACCAAGAAGCAGCTAATGCATGTATTTAATGCATTGATTTTGTAAGTTATTTTTTCTGCAATGGACAATGTATATTTCCAAGGCTGGTGTGTTTTCTTTGTAAAGCTGCATATTTGACTACTCAAGAGTAAAAGTTATATTTTCCTTCTACTCTGTGTGATTCAACTTAAGGGCTGGAGCTGGGAAGACTGCTGAGTAGCTTCCGTATAGACTAATAAACCGCAACAGAACACACATGGCACACAGAATCTTGATGGTCAACATACCAAATTTGGCTTTCCCCCCTCTAATAAATACTGTTACTAGTTAACTAAATGATATTACCTAACACCTAGAATATATTAATAATAGAATCGAATATTAGTAGAATATAATAATATAATAACACAATAATGGAATATATAATACAGTAGAGTCTCGCTTATCCAACCTTTGCTCAACAAACATTCTGAATTATCCAATGCAGTCTGCCTCCTGCCCGGAGACACAGCTGTTTCAATAATTTGCGATGTTTTGGTGCTAAATTTGTAAATACAGTAATTACTAAAGAACATTATCGTGTACTGAGTTACTTTTTCTGTGAATTTGTTGTAAAACATGTCTGGTGCTTAATTTGTACAATCATAATGTAATTTGACATTCATCCCTCCTTATTATCCAACATTTCATTGATACAACATTCTGCCGGCCCATTTATGTTGGATAAGTGAGACTCTACTATATTACCAGCTGTTAGGATTTCTGGGAGTTGAAGGCCAAAAACATCTGGGGACCCCAGGTTGAGAACCACTGCTTTAAAACCATGTTCACCCACTTTCACTGTACTGGAACCCAATTATCTAGTGATCCCAATGACTTTTTATACTTGACTAGTATGTTGTTTTTTCTTTTTCTCTCTTTATTTTTAACTTAATGTTGGTATGTGTTATGTCCATGCTATTCACTAATAAAAATGAATCTTAAAAAAAAAATAGAAGCATATATTAATAGAATAAAAATATAATATAATAGTGATATTAATAAATACCATACTGTAATATATATATCTATATAAATAAAAATGTGGGATTAACATAACTCAAACACCACTGGACGACTTGCCACCAAATTTGGCCACAAGACACCTACTAACCAAAGGAGTGACCATCACTCAAAAAAATTGAGGTTGTCATTTAGGTATGTAGTTATCTTTTAACCTAATCAGGTTTGAATGTGTGTTGGTTCGCTGTTGTGGGGGTCTTGGGATGGTGATTGTTGTGTGTTTGTGAATGTTTCTGTTTTTGATGTTGATGCGGTCAATAGATTTTGCTGCTCAGGTTGTCATTTGGGAGTTGTAGTTTCTGGGACTTATAGTTTACTTACAATCAAAGAGCATTCCGAACTCCACCAATGATGGAATTCAAACCCAACAAGACCAACAGAAAACACTAGAAAGGTTTGGTGGGCATTGACCTTGAGTTTGGGAGTTGTACTTCACCTACATCCAGACAGCACTGTGGACTCAAACAATGATGGATCTGCACCAAACTTAGCACGAATCTTCCATATTGCCCAAATATGGAAACAGATGGAGTTTGGGGGAAATAGACCTTGACATTTGGGAGTTGTAGTTACTGGGATTTATAGTTCACCTACAACCAAAGAGCATGCTGAACCCCACCAACGACAGAACTGGGGCAAACTTCCCACACAGAATCCCCATACTTATGGCCATCCAGTCCAACTCCCTTCACCAGGACAAGAAAACGTAACCAAAGCCCTCCTGACAAAGAGCCATCCAGCCATAGATAGAGATAGATATATATGATTGACACACACACAGATACAGTATCATAGATAGAAAGGAACCCCTATAGAAGGACAATGATGTGTTTCATGTTCCAGAGTAGGCAAACCAGACAATCTCCAAATCAACACTGACAAAGAATCAGCAAGAAATACTGTTTACCCACAAGCAGAAAGATATGACATATGTTAGAAACGAATACTTTCTAATTATTTTCCAGATCACCAGACTGGGCCACAGCAACGCGTGGCAGGGGACGGCTAGTATAGTAATAATATAATAGTAGAATAATACTACTAATAATTAGATTAATATAAGAATATATTATTAATAACATATAATAGTAGAATAATAATAATATGAGAATAGTGGAATATATAAATAATAGAATAGACTATAGCAATAATGATGGAATATATGAATAATATAATAGTAGAATAATAATATTACTATAATAATAGAAGAATACCCTGTGATAATAATAGAAGGAAATATCATTGGAAATCCCTCTAATAAATATATATAAGGAGGAGGAGGCTAGGCCGCAAAGCCTGCCTGGGCGTGAGGCATGCCTCTCAAGGCCACTCACCGAAAGTAGCCCCCTGCCTACTTCCCCTCACGCCGGCAAGGCCTCCCCGCCAGCGACGCTTCCCGTTCTCCCTCCGCCGTCAGCTGATTCGATTAAGAGGGTTTTCCCGGAACCGGAAGTTACCAGGGACACTTTAAGCTACGGCACCCGTGCGCGCCCTGAAAATGGTTCCGCCACTTCCGCGCAGGCGCACTCGCTTGAGAGGAAGTCGACCGAATGCCTGTTTTCGCGCGGACGGATGCGAATTCGTCTCCGGCCGTTGACTTTGGCTGGTCGTTTCGACGCATGCGTACTTATCTCCCGCCGTTGCCTTTGTTTTGTTGTCTCTACGCATGCGCACCCTGTTGTTGGTTTTTGTTTTGTTTTTTGCGCCGACGCATGCGCACTCCGTTTTTCTGCCTCCGTCTGGAAAGGGTTGCCTCGCTTTCCCATCCCTGCGCATGCGCTTACCGCTCTGGAAGGCAAACTAATCGGCGCATGCGTACTTCGCCTGGCTTTCTCCTAATGGCGGCGATTGGGAAGAATGGTCTCAATATTGCCAGCAGCAGCAGCGACGAAGACGAAGCAGAGGTCCTGCAGCGTGTCCGTGAAGCCGCTTGGGACCCTCCCCGCGGAGGCTTGGAAGCCTCGGCCGGTAAGGCGACAAGGAAAGCCCGCAGACTTCAAGCGCGGCCTACTCGCAGGCACGAGGGCGCATCCGGACTCCAACTCCCAGAAGCCTCTTCCCTCGCGGCCAATGGCAAAGGCTTTCGGGAGTTGGAGTCCGCACCTGCCGGAAAGGCCTCTGGGGATTGGTCTTCTTCAGGAATCACGTGATTATGCTGCTAGAAGCCCTTTCGAAGGAGGCTGCAGGAAACACAAAGATTTATAGATATAGCTATAAATATAAATATTTAATAAAATATAATAATAATAATATATTATATATAGTAATAATTAAACTATACAATAAAGAAAAAGTAATAAAATATATAATATTAATATAAGATAATATAATCATCATTATACTATATTATAATGATAAAAATAGAATGTAGAAGATACTATATAGCAGTGGTTCTCCACCTGGGGTCCCCAGATGTTTTTGCCTTCAACTCCCAGAACTCCTAACAGCTGGTAAACTGGCTGGGATTTATGGGAGTTGTAGGCCAAAAACATCTGGGGACACCAGGTTGAGAAACACTGCTATATAGTGTCAAATAATTATAATTAAGCTATATAATAAAGATAAAATATAATAAAAGAATATAATAAAATGATTATACTATCAAGCAAAAAGTGGGTGCTAGAAACATTATCATACGAAAGCTGACTGGCACAACCTGGGGATCACAACCAGACACAGTGAAGACATCTGCCCTTGCGCTATGCTACTCTGCTGCTGAGTATGCATGCCCAGTGTGGAACACATCTCACCATGCTAAAGCAGTGGATGTGGCTCTTAATGAGACATGCCGCATCATCACGGGGTGCCTGCACCCTACACCACTGGAGAAATTACACTGTTTAGCCAGTACTGCACCACCTGACATCCACCGGGGAGTAGCAGCCAATAGTGAAAGGACCAAGGCAGTGACATGTCTAGCTCATCCCTTGTTTGGGTATCAGCCAGCACGTCAACGCCTTAAATCAAGAAATAGTTTTCTAAGATCTACAGAGACACTTGCTGGAACACCTCAGCAAGCGAGATTCCAAAAGTGGCAGGCTCAAACTCAGAACCTCAACCAAAGGCTGATACCAAATGAGAGACTCCCCCCTGGGCACACAGAAGACTGGGCGACTTGGAAGGCGCTGAACAGACTGCGCTCTGGCACCACGAGATGCAGAACCAACCTTCAGAAATGGGGCCACAAAGTGGAATCTACGACATGCAAGTGTGGAGAAGAGCAAACCACTGACCACCTGCTGCAATGCACCCTGAGCCCTGCCACATGCACAATGGAGGACCTTCTTGCGGCAACACCAGAGGCACTCCAAGTGGCCAAATACTGGTCAAAGGACATTTAATCAACTACCAGGCTTGCAAACTTTGTGGTTTTTTTTAAACTGCTTGTTTGTTTTGTTAGAAATGTAATACAATGGTCTGGTTGCCCCTGACACGATAAATAAATATACTATAAGGTAAAGGTTTTCCCCTGACATTAAGTCCAGTCATGTCTGACTCTGGGGTGTGATGCTCATCTCCATTTCTAAGCCAAAGAGCCGGCGTTGTCCGTAGACACCTCCAAGGTCATGTGGCCGGCATGACTACACGGAGCACTGTTACCTTCCCGCCAGACCTATTGATCTCACATTTGCATGTTTTTGAACTGCTAGGTTGGCAGAATCTAGGGCTGACAGCGGAAGCTCACACCACTCCCTGGAATCGAACCTGCGACCTTTCGGTCAACAAGCTCAGCGCTTTAACCCACTGCACCACCGATTATACTATAATAAAATATAATATATAAGAATGTAATAATAATTAAGCTATATAATAATAATAAAATATAGTAACAATATAATATATATGATATAATAATTATGCTATATATGTAATACAGTATTGAAAAATATAATTAAATATATATAATATAATAATTATATATATGATATTCAATACTATGAATACTAAATAATAATGATACAAATATAATAAAATATATAATGTATTATTATTAAACATGTATTATTATGTTGTATATATAATATATCAGCCTCTTACCAGAATAAAATAATTGTAATTGTAAATTTTTTAAACATATTAAATATTTTATTTCATTTTTTTAGCCGAGAAGCTGCTTCTCTCAGACAAACCGAGCCTCAGGTATTTTTATATTAACATTAATAACAATAATTATCATAATTATTTGTTTCTATTTTTTTCCTGATTTTATGACAAATTAATTCATTTTTCCCTATCTGTGGATAGAACAAAAGCCGGCCATAATGAGGAAGATGCAAATGAGTTACAAACAACTGCCGGATTCAAGGCACATGTGGCCAAGAAACTGGGAGCCATTTTGGACAGGTACATATTATTATTATTATTATTATTATTATTATTATTATTATTATTATTATATTGTTATTGTACTCTAATATCCTAGAATGTTTCATATCTCATTATATTTCATTGATTATTAAATGTATTATTTGTATTTCATTATATTCTAAAATATAATTATTTATATTATGTTTTAATACAAACATTATATTTAATATAAAAAGTATAATATATTCAATATATTTATATATGTATATTATGTTTATTTCTATTATATTAATTATATAATATACATATTATATTTTATATAAAATTATATTTAATATATTGTTATTGTGATTATTGTATTATTGTTATTGTATTATTGTTATTGTATTATTATTATTAATATTTATTTATTACTAGCTGTCCCTGGCCAGCGTTGCTGTGACCCAGTCTGGTTAAATGGAAAAGAAAGAAAAGAGAAAGTGCAGGTTTTTAATATATTTCATTTCACAATGCTTGTGGGTATACAATATTTGTTGTTGTTCCATTGTCTGCGCAGATACATTTATTTATTTATTTACAACATTTATTTGCCGCCCTTCTCACCCCAAAGGGGACTCAGAGCAGTTTACAAGTTATATGTACATACACTATATTATATTATTAGCATAGCACAATATTAGTATTATATATTCCTATATTGTACCATACTGTAATAGTATTAAAGGTTGTCCCCTGACATTAAGTCCAGTCATGTCTGACTCTAGGGTGTGGTGCTCATCTCCATTTCTAAGTCAAAGAGTCAGCATTGTCCATAGACACCTCCAAGGTCATGTGGCCAGCATGACTGCATGGAGTGCCATTACCTTCCCGCTGGAGCGGTACCTATTGATCTACTCACATTTGCATGTTTTCGAACTGCTAGGTTGGCAGAAGCTGGGGCTGACAGTGGAAGTTCATGCCGCTCCCCGGAATCGAACCTGCGACCTTTCAGTCAACAAGCTCAAAAGCTCAACCCTTTAACCCACTGCACCACTGGGGGCTCCATGTAATAGTATTACATTAATAATAAAAACTAATAATATATTAATAGTATTAATAATATAGAGATTGTCTGGTTTGCTGATTCTACAACACCAACATATAATTGTCCATGTAAGAAGCAATCCGTGTCTAGATCTGAACTGCACATTTCTAAAGATTGGCTCTGAGCTTTGATGTTGGTGATTGCAAATGCCAATCGAATTGGGAATTGTAATCTCTTAAACTGAAATGGCATATCCATTGGAATTATAGGAATGTGAGGAATGAGGACATCTTCAACATAGAATATCGAGGTAGATAATCCAGAATGTGTGCTTTGTACTGGATTATATGTCAGTGCATACTTAGGGCCCTTCCTTACAGCCATAGAACCCACAATGTCTGCTTTGAACTGGGTTATCTGAGTCCAGACTGCCATGTGACCCAGTTCAATGTGGTTCTTATACAGCTGAGTGGAAGGAGCCTAAAGAAAGACACAAGGTGCCCAAAGGAGCCCCAATGAATAATAGTAAACATACAGCAGCATTCTTGAGGACGGGGATGGCATTGGAGGAGGGGAAGGGGGAGGAAGGCCCGACCCTCTCAGAGGAGACAATGATTGACAGTGAGGGCTTTCTTAAAGGGAGGGGCATTGAAGTTAGAGAAACCCAATGGAGGGGGCATGATGCGCATGCCCGTGCAGCCAAATAAACACACAGAGCCCAAGAGGCGAGACCTGCCTTATCTAGCCAAAGAGGCCTGGCTGAGTGGGTGAGTGGCCAAGGCGCACTCCCTGTCCCTCGGGCACAACTTCGGACTGAGGCAGAGAAGCAGCATTGGGGGGGGGGGAGGTGAAGGCCTGCCCCCGCCGCCCACCCCCATGCAATCCTGCGCCCTTCAGGACAAAGTGAGCAGCGCCGAAGCAAAGAAGGACAACAATAAACTACTCACAAAACAAATGCTTTGGTAAATGACACATCTCAATTCCAATGCGTTTAAATCAAAATGAAACTAAATCAAAATCTATGAAAATTCAATGCCGCAATGCATTCGGAAAGATTGAAACGGAATCGTAAAATGTGTAGTATAGCGTGAGTTGTTTTGACATCCAGCAGATGGCACTGTTTTTGAAAAAAAAAACATTTTTAGCTCTCACAGGTGTGACATCTATATAATAGTAGGTATGTGAAAACATAAAACACATGCCTATTCAAATGCTACGTTGTGTCAAAATTTCAAAGCAATCGGTGAAGTATTTTGGGAGATTTAAGGTTTTGAACAAACGGACATTCACATTTTCATTTATATGGATTTTATAATATATTATTATCATAACCATTATATTATAACATTATATCCTAGGATGTTTTGTATTCCTAGGTCCTCCAAGGGGGTCTGTATTAAGAGGCTGTATTATTAATTTAATATGTGCATAATTAAGAATAATTTCCTCAACAGTTCTGTGATGATCTGGAATCATCCGTCAGGAACCGTAGAGGAGAAGAAGGAAGAGGAAGTAGCAGATCCACCCGATGATGGTAAGCCCCTTCCTTGAATTTTATGTGTGTGTGTGTGTGTGTGTGTGTGTGTGTGTGTGTGTGTGTGTATATATATATAATATATATCCAAGTAGCAACAGTAAGAACAGAACAACAGACTGGTTCAAGAAGATTGGGAAAGGAGTACAGCAAGACTGTATCCTCTCACCCAACCTATCCAATTTGTATGCAGAATACACCTTGCGATGTGCGGGGTTTGAGGAATCCAAAGCTGGAATTAAAATGGCTGGAAGAAACATTAACAACCTTAGTTCTGCAGATGATGTCACTTTGATGGCCGAAAGCAGGAGGAGCTGAGGAGCCTTCTAACCAAGGTGAAGAAAAAAGGGCAAAAGCTGGGTTGCAGTTAAACATCAAAAAACCCAAGGTGATGGCAGCCAGACTGATGGATAACTGGGAAATAAAGGGAGAAAACGTGGAGGCAATGACAGACTTTGTATTTCTAGGTGCAAAGATTACTGCAGATGCAGACGGCAGCCAGTAAATCAGAAGACGTTTATTTAATGAAATATAATAATAAAGAGATGTAATAATAAATAAAAATAAAATATAAACAAAATCTAATAGTAATCTATAATAAAGAAATATGAATAAAATATATGATAAAATATAAATAATTATATAAAATAATATATAACATATAATAATATAATTTTTAAAATAATATATATGTAAATTGTGATGCCATGTCTTCTTCCATAGGGTTCCGCCTCTTCTCCTCGTCACTTCCAGAAAATTCCGAAAAACCCGAATCATTGCCTTCCATTAGAAGGAAGAAGAGACGGTATTCCTCCTCCAGGTGAATTATATTATTAATGTTATTATGATAATTACTATATTATAAAATAATACAATAATATATTGTATCAATATATTATTATTTTATGTGGTATATATTATATACCACCCAGAAACCCAGCCAGTATTACCAATTGCCCATGTTGGTTCTGTGTGCCAAGTTTGGTTCCGATCCATCATTGGCTGGGAGTTCTCTCTGCATAAGGGTGAACTACAACTCCCAGATTCCCAGGGCAATCACCCCCAAACCCTGCCAGTATGCACAGTTGCCCATGTTGGGTCTGTGTACCAAGTTTGGTCCAGGGCTGTCATTTGTGGGGGTCATTTTTTCCAAATTTCCTTTCTAATTCTTCATTGGGCATGTTCAAAAGGTACATTTGTGGTGTCGTTTTGAAATTTGTGTTTAACATCTTTTCAAGAATCTGTTTCCAGTAGTTGTTTACTTTGCTGCGAGTCCACCATGTGTGGTAAAATGTACCTTTTTCTTTCCCACATTTCCAGCATTTCTCGGTATGCATCTTGACTAGTCTTTCTGGAGGGAGGTACCATTTTGCATTTTGTAAACATTTTCTTTTAGATTTTGAGATGCAGTGTATTTCATTCTTCTCTTCCATGTCTTTTCCCATTGGGTCATTTTTATCTCTTGGCCAATGTTTTGAGCCCATCTAATCATCGAGTCTTTTACTACTTCCTCTTCCGTGTGCCAAGTCAGAAGGTTTTTGTATATGTATGATATAAGTCCTTTTAGTTTCTGCAATTATTATTATTATATTATATTATTACTAGATGTACCCGCCACGCGTTGCTGTGACCAACCTTCCCTCCCTCTTTCTCTCCTTCTTTTCTTTCTCTACTTCCTTCCTTTTTCTTTCCTTCTCTCGTTCCATCCTTCTCTTCCTCTTCCCTTCCATCCCCCTTTTCTTTCCCTTCTTCTTCCTCCCCGTTCTTCCTTCTCTACCTATTCTTGGACTGCAACTCCCGGCAGTCCACCTGATTGATCTATTTACCTGTCTAATCTACCTATCTGGAGGATTGCTGGGAGTTGCAGTCCAGGAATAGGAAARTGGAAATATGCAGGGATTGGGATTCTCAAAGAAATCCAAGGAGAAGAAAACTTGCATCTTGGAAGCAGTGCATTTGGATCATCCTCCTCTCCTAAAGGGCCTGGTCAAAGGGGATTATGGGAGCTGTAGTCCGGAAGAGAGTGTGGATATGCTATTGTGTGTGTGGTTTTGTTTTTTGTTTTTGTTTTTTTGCCAGGGGAGTCATTTTTGCGCATGTGCTGTAGAATCTTTTTTGGCTTTTTAAGTCCCTTCCGCTGTGATTTCAGTGTTTTTATGAGTGATGGTCACTCATTGGCCTGATAGGTGTCTTGTGTCCAAATTTGGTGTCAATTCGTCCAGTGGTTTTTGAGTTATGTTAATCCCACAAACAAACATTACATTTTTATTTATATAGACTAGCTGTATCCACCACACGTTGCTGTGGCCAACCTTCCCTCCCTGTTTCTCTCTCACCTTCCTTCCTTCCCTCCCTCGTTCCTTCATTCCTTCCTTTTTTTCCTTTCCTTCTCTCTTTTCTTCCTCCCTCCCTCCTTTTCTTTTCTTTTTCTTCTTTCTCTCCTTTCTTCCTTCTCTACCTCTTTCTTTCCTTCCTTCCTTTGCTCTTTGCTTCCATCCTTCCTTCTCTCTTGCCTGCTTTGTTTCTCGCCCTCTTTCTTTCTCTCTTCTTTTCCTCTTTCCTTTCTTCGCTTCTCTACCTCTTGCCTGGGCACCGGCAGGAAGGGAGCCTTGTAGCCCTCAGCCTTGCTGGGCCAGGTTCGGGGCAGGCGGGATGCGCTTTTTGAGGCAGGCCTTGCTCACCTAGTGCCGCCCCTTCTTCTCTCTGCTATGGCTGTGGGGCGCCTTCCCGCCTGTTTGCTGGTTGGGCATGCAGGCGGGGTCCTGTGAAAGGCGCCCTGCGGCTGCGGCAGAAAGAAGGGACCAGTGCTTGGTGAGCAAGGCCCACCTCGAAAAATGCCTGCCAGACCCAGCAAGGCTGAGGGCTGCAAAGCTCCCTTCATGTCAGTGCCCAAGCAAGAGAAGGCGAAGTCTGACGAACAGCGCCCGCATGGAGCAGCCACCCGCCCCTGCCTCACTGGAGAAAAAGAAGGAGGAGGGGTCCCTGTTTGGTGGGGCCAATAGAGGACAGAGACTAGGAGGGAGGCAAGGAGGGCCCACGCGAGGCCCCGGCGAGGCAGAGGAGGGTAGGTCTAAAAGCACGGCTCGATTCTGTGGGATCCTGGTGGGGCACCAGTCCTCCTCGGCAGGGATTGCTTCAGCAAGGCTGCATGAAAGTACAGCTCCCAAGACCCCATCGCATTGTTAAAAATGGGGCCAAACTGCATCCATTCTACAGTGTGTGTCTGAGCCGCAGCCTGAACCCATGGCTAATCCTCACTCGGTGCCAGCAGGGATTGCCAGCTTGCAATGGATAGTTGGTGCATGGGGGAGGGGACATTCACGCATGTGCTATTATGTATTCTTGGTTTTGGGGTTTTTTTAAGTTCTTTCCTTTTTTTTGTCTTTTTGAGTGAAGGACATACATTGGTTTAGTTGGTATATTGTGTCCAAATTTGATGTCCATTCGTCCGGTGGATCTGGCCAGGGTGGTCCATGCCTTAGTCACCTCCAGATTGGACTACTGTAATGCAGTCTACGTGGGGCTGCCCTTGAAAACGGCCAGGTTGTTAACTGGGGCTCCTTACAGGGAGCGGTCAACCCTCCTGTTTAAGGAGCTCTATTGGCTGCCGTTCATTTTCTGGTCCCAATTCAAGGTGCAGGTTCTTACCTACAAAGCCCTGAACGGTTTGGGATCTGCCTACCTGCGTGGCTGCATTTCTGTGTACGAACCCATACGATCTCTTCGATCATCTGGAGAGGCCCTACTCGTGCTCCCACCTGCTTCGCAAGTGCGATTGGTGGGAACAAGGGAGAGGGCCTTCTCGGTGGTGGCCCCCTGACTCTGGAACTCACTCCCCAAGGATATCAGGCATGCCCCAACTTTGGCAATTTTTAGGAGGAGCTTGAAAACGTGGTTGTTCCAGTGTGCCTTCCCAGAATAAGGAAACTCCCAGCAATATGTCCCTAATTGCACCTTATTAGTGATCTAGAACTGTCTGTACGCCCCATTCTTTTCCGAAATTCTATCCTAGTTATATTTCACCTGGTCTTGTCCAGCATTATTTTTAAATTTTAACTATTACATTTGGCCCAGCCATTGGTTTTTAAATGTTATTGTGTTATTGTCGATGTTTACTGCCTATTTTTTGTTTATGAGCTTTATTTTATTGTTTTGTATTACTGCTGCTGTTGTTTTTTTGCTGATGTATTGTGAGCTCGGCCTCACTGAGTCCCTTGGGGAGATGGTAGTGGGGTATAAATAAAGTTTTATTATTATTATCAAATCAAATCAAATCATTTATTTCGGTCATTGACCAGCACAGGAAATAGAGTCACATTTTCATACAAACTTGGTATGTTTGGTACATTAAAAATATAAATATAACTACTGAAGCACAATATGGGTGAGGGAGCAGAGGGGAAACGATAAAAACATACAATGCCCAGATCCATCACCAAATTGTAGATTCAGAGAAGAAGATTACTGGGCACACAGTTAACTTTTGGGACTAGTCATTCCCTGACGGATTTTGTATGCTGATGGACAGAACTTTTCAACATTGTAGGTTGTAGCTGAATTAATATCTGCAAGTAGCAGGGAGGTATAAAATTGTCCTGAATGGCCTGGGTGCTTGTATATCAGAGGTAACAGAGGTAAGATAAGCCTGGCACGGATATCCCTGTATCCCGAGGAGGATTGTCTTCCAAGATTATGTATTATTATTATTATTGAGAACATTACATTTTTATTTATACATATTGTTATGTAATGAATGGCTGGCTGGCTTTTCCCTCAGGGAGTCTTGGTGGTGGCCACCTTGGAAGTAATGCCTTGGGGATGGCCATCTTGGGTAGTCTGGCTCAATTTGAGGGCCTTGGGGCAACCAAAGAAATGCCTTGGGGCAGCCATCTTGGAATTAATGGCTCAGTGGAAGGCCTTGGGGGCGGCCATCGTTGCCTGACTTTCTGTTGAACTTTCCCTGCAGTTCTTCTTCGGAGGAATGGCGGCGTTGCCAGGAGGCGGCCATGACGGCGGCAGACATCTTGAAAGGGAGTGGAGCACAAAAGGGCGGAGAGGTCGAGGCTTCTGCCGTGACTGACAGGGGCCCGGCAGACATTTTGCGGAAGAAGAAGAAAAAGAAAAAGAAGAGAAAACAAGATGGAGGCCAACATAATGTATAAATAAATTGTGGATTAAAAATGAATTCAAATATATTTATTATTGCGTGGAAATGAACGTCTCAATTCCCGATTCAGGGCTTTGATACAAGACCAAACTTCCGGAAGATGATACTACAAGGGAATAGAAAAAAAAAGAATATATTTATTATCAGTAGTATTCAATTAAATTATTTATTTAATATTAATATTTTATTTTATTTAAAAGTGTTATATTTTATTGATTTTATTTAATATTAATATTTTTAAATATATCTATTCTTATTAAATTAAATTATTTTATTTAATATTAGTATTTCATTTTGTTTAAAAATATTGAATTTTATTTATTTTATGTAATAGTATTTTGAAATATTGAATTTTATTTATTTTATTTAATATTTTATTTTATTTTGAAAAATTTTCAATTTAATGGACTCCACCATAGGAAATATATTATAATCAATATTAGAAGTTAAATATTGTAATATATAAATTACAATCAATATTATAATATAAAATCATAAATATAATTAACGTGTTATAATAAATGTAATATTATAAATATGTAATATTTATTCATCATTATATGGATATGGCTGCAGTGTTGGGGTGTGGCCACAAGGGGGCGAGGAAGTTGCAGCTGATAAATATATATAATTAATATTATAAGTTTATTAATAAATACTCTAATATAAATAGAAGCCATATTATAATCATAATAAGTATAATATTAAAATATAATGAATAGTATAATATTAAAATATAATGAATATTATATGAAATATTATAATATAATATTAAAACATAATATAAAATTACAAATATATTGTAATATAATATCAATATCACCTATATATATGACTACATTGCTGATATGTGGCCACAAGAGGGGAGCATAGAGGTGGGCAGGATGAGCTGATAGGTATAGCTATAATAAATATTTTATAAATAGATGGATATATTTTAATAAAGTTTATTAATATAATGTAATAAATACTCTAATATTATGAATATATTAGAATACATATTTTAAGATTATAAATATAAGCAATATAGCATAAATATAATCAATATTGTATAATATTGATAAATATATTATTATAAATATAAAATAATATAAATATATAATATTATAAATATATTTATTCATTATATATACGGTTGCAGAGGCCAGATGTGGCCACAGGGAGATAGGAGGGAGGAGCGAATCGATATATGAGAGTTATCTGGAAATTAAGGTTACAAGGCAGGTAGCTCTTGCAGGCAATTTTCTCTGGGGAAGTTGGTATCACTGCTGTGTAGCGGGAAGCCAGTGGAAGCGAATAAGCAGTGCCAGTCGTTAGTAGCTCATCAAATGGCATTGTGGTGAAGGTTAGAGATGAGCATCCTCATTCCGTTTTCTTTTTCCCTCCAAGTGCGAAGTTCACATCACACTGTAATATGCTACCTAAATGCTAATGGCATGAACACTGCTGCAATTCATAGCAAAATTGTTTAAGTTTATGGAGAGGATGTAATGTCAAGACAGTATGTGAGAAAATGGGTATGGAATATATTGTGAGACCATGAAGAAACTTCGCAGAGCCGTCCAAAACAAATGTAGTGGGATTCTGACGGCGGGAGTCTGTCTCCTTCACACCACTCGTGCAACACAGAGATGTTAACATCATTTAGCTGGGATGTTTTAAGCCACCCCTCTCACAGCCCCGATCTCGCACCCAGAGACTCTCATCTGTTCACTCAATTGAAGGAACACCTTAGTGGAAAACACTTTTTTGATGACAACAGAGTGAAAATTGAAGTGATGAATTGGGTGAAAAAGGCGGAGGGAAACTTCTGTGACACAGGCATCAAAAACTCGTCCCACAGATGACAAAATGTACTGAACTGAATGGTGATTCTGTGGAAAAATAATGTAATACCTATGCTACAATCCGTATAAGTTTTATTAAAATATATTCATTCTTTGTATTTTAAAAAAATCTTGTAACCTTACTTTCCGGATAACCCTCATATATACATATATGTATATATGGATGTAGTGCTGAGATGTGGTCACAAGAGGGCAGCATGTAGAAATGAAGAACTAATAGACAATGGGTGCAATGCCCTGATGTGGCCACAAGGAGGGCAGCATAGGGATGGGAGGGAGGAGCGGCTGACCTGCAGGGCTGGAGCTAAGCCGCTGCCCCGCCTGCAGGTGGGAAATGGCCACCTCAGGGCCTTGCAAGTGGACGGTGGGTGCTTGACCAGTCGCGGTGTGGATCTCCGGGTCAGAGGTGAAAACCTGGGTCAAAGGGGAGAGAGCATTGTATCATTCCTGGAATGACCTCCCCCTGCGTTTGTTGCATCTTGTGCTTGTGTAGCCCGCCTTACCTGTTTGGCTGGGGTCAAAGGGCTGAGGCTGGATGTGTCAGTCAGTAGGAAGCTTGTGTGGGCGTACGGGGCCACTTCCTGTTTGTGGCCGTAGAGCGCTATGAGGGGAACAACAGGAAATGAAGACAACGGGATGACTTGTTGCCCGAAGGTCACGACTCCCCATTTGACCGGCCCCCATTTTGCCCAAAAATCATGTCGCAACTCCCACTAACCATGAGAGGCCATGAAGGGGCTCTGGATCTGTTGCTGGTATGACGGGTGGAGCTGCGGGGAGAACTGGACTGGTTGGAGAGTGGTCAAGCTGCTGCCCATGCTGTTGAGGACGGCCGGGACGTTCTGGGCTTGAGTGGAGGCCAGGCCTGGAAGGGAGGGAGGCAATGCATGAGGACAGAAAGTCACCCCCTCCCCATGGAGGTCACCATTACAGAGACAGGAAGTCGTTTCCTCCCTGCTGAGGTAGCCATTAGAGAGACTGGAAGTCTGCCTCTCCATGCAAAGGCACAATTGAGAAGGACAGGGTCAGCCCCTCCCTGAGGAGGTCACCATTAGAGAGACAGGGAGTCCACCTCTATATGCAAAGCTACAACTGAAAGATGTTGGAGAGACAGGAAGTCAGCCACTCCCTGTGGAGGACAGCATTAGAGAGACAGGAAGTCAGCTCCTCCCTGCAGAGGACACCATAAGAGAGACAGGAAGTCCACCTCTTCACGCGGAGGTCACCATTAGAGAGTCACAAAGGACTACCACCTCACC